TGGCATTATTTTGTTCCGTGATTATTTATAACAAAAAATATAAATTGTGTTTCCATTTCGGTTGAATAGGATTGATTTTTCTTCTCCAGTTGAAGCTGTATAAACTAAAAAATCATTTTTGCTGTAGGGAGCCTTACATAGCATGTAAGCACTCTTGGCTATATTCCTCAGATTTATAGCTATCAAACCCCCTAAATTTGTATTCATCTCGGGTTTGTTATCTATAAACTTAAACATAGTTAATACTAAGGTGCAAGACGCAAAAAAAGTCATTAAAGACTTAAGAGTTGTACAGAAAAATACAATAACTATAGATTCTATAGTTATTGTATTTTTCTTATAACTTGTTGGATGACAGTTACTTTTCAAATATTTGTACAACTCTTAAGTCTTTAATGACTTTTTTTGCGTCTTGCACCTTAGTATTAACTATGTTTAAGTTTTATTCACCACTGAAACTCACATTTGGTCGTGTTGAAACCACATTTCAGGTTACGTTGACGTTGTCTATGGCGTGAAAATGTTAACAGACAATGAAGATTTTTGATTCGGATTATTTCAAGTAATGTGCTACTTTCTAACTGTTAGACCTTTCCTTTAATTCACTACCACGATTGAAATGTTATAATTAAATATATTTACAAATCTGTTTAGGATTAGGTTAAAGTTGGGTTAGGTTATGTCAGATCATAGACATGTCACAAAATATATATAACCTTTGATTATAAGCTTATAAAATTACCATTGAGTACTGTTATGTACAAATTACTTAGGTTTATTGAATTGACCATGTATATACCAGTTCGACGACTTCAACATTAGTCTTATCCAAATAAAAAATCAATTCAATTGTGATTACGATTATTAATTAATCATACCTTAACTGCTGTAATACAACAGAAAAAAACACAATTTTATTATTTGTGACTTTCAACAAATTAAATGTATACAGCATAAAAGTGGAAACCCCCTAATGAAAGTTTCCTTGCAAACACCATCGTGGCAAAAAATCGCTAAAACGTTAAACGTGTTTAAAATCCTGTATCTGTTACGCAAGCCATTTATCCTGTACCTTCTTCGAAACTGTCCTTGAGTTCCTATTTTTATATCAAGTCCAAAACACCAATCACAAGTCCGGTTTAGCTTTGATCCCTTTGTTGAAATAAAAGTGACAGTTGTTTACATCTGTGACCTTGTAACATGCTGTAGGTCGTCAGCTGATTCATTGTTGAGGTTACACCTGACAGTCTCCCGCCATTTTATATCACTTTGTCACCAAAATTGACGTCTTTCATTGTTGATGTTCGTTTACACACGGCTTTGTCGAGCAAATCGTAGTTTATGGATCGTTGTGGAAGATTGAGGCGTGAAATATTGTTCTCTTTTTCCTTGGCATTAACAAGAATTTCTTTTAATAGATTTATTGTTTGGCTCGTTTTTAATTTTTTGTTTTCAATTGCACATTGAGACTTTGGAAAGGAGGTTATATTACAATAGATCAAAAATTTAAAGAGTTATGTTTCAGTTAAAACACATGTATTTATAGGTATTACAAATATACCAGTTGGTGTTTTCACGAATGTGCTAATATGCGAATGGATTTCATTTTTGTAAATGTAAAAGCAAAATTTAATATTCTACTTAATTTAATATATTTAATTTAAATACTTGATTCTAAATGGTGTGTAATATCGAGACTTTGGAAGTATTCTTTTGTGCATTCCAGCTTAATTGCCCACATTGTGACCAGTGAAAGGCTTAGAATCAGGGATGGACTAGAACTTAGAATTCAGGATCTTTCTGAGGTCACGAGTTCAAATCTCGCCAACCACCAATGGAATTTATTGTGCGATAATGATACTACCTGGTAACCTGGAAACTTACCTGAAATATTTTTTTTCTGCATCCTTCACGCAGAAAATGTGTAATTCCCTCATGTAAGAAGAACCGCCTCTCCACAAAAAGCCATAGTGACCAACAAATAACCGTATTTCTCTATATACTCGATTATTTCCGTACAGAAAATATATGGACAAAAAAAACAATATTAGGTTACTGTCAAGCTAAATATAAGTTTGATGGTTATTACAATGCTGAATGTTATCACAGTCACAACACTATTGTCATGAATACTCTATGATTTGCAAATTGCTTACTCTATGTGACGCAACTCGTGATGTCACCAGTTGTGATAAGACCTAGGCCAACTGATAACGTAAGGTAGTTTACCGCTTTGGCGCGCTTTAGTTGGTTGGAGTCCTTTACCGCGGGAAGTCCTACGTAGTGTAGAAGTTGCAGGTATTATTTTTCTTCTTTTGTTCATTTTTAATTTTTGTGATTTCATAATTAGGCCTATTGATTAGTGGCGTTTGGAGTGAGCTCTGTAGTGTTTCGTTTTGGTTGGTTTGTTATATTAGGTTTTGTTTCGATTTTAGGTCAAACAAATCTTTCGACAATACGATTTTTATGATTTTTTCGATAATTGATTGTTTAAGGTTAAAAATAATGTAAAATATTTTTACTTCGCATTTAGGAAAGTCTACATTTTCAGAATGTTTTGATTAAGTGGTAGAAAAAATGTTTAAACAGCTTAAAATTTGATTAAAATTTATTCACTCTGTTTTTTTCGATTTACGTGATCGAATTCTGTTGCACTTAAGTAATAATTAATTGTGGTGAATATGCACATACTTAGTGTAACTATTATCCCATTTACAGCCATTACAGCCCTTAATTTTCTTAACAGAAAAGGAATTCAACTCAGTTTAATCTTAGAGATAATTCAGGCACTTTCACAACTATTTATCGTGTAAAAAATGCTTTCTGACTTACGGCGAACTCGTTACACCATGGAGGCAATTTCACACAGGTTTAATGTTAAATCCTCTAACTTTATGGTTGGTTGCCTTAGTTAGTTATCACATTTTACATTGACGTAGCTAATATTTTAATGATGAACACATTTTGGTCCTTTTTTAACCTTCAAGTGTTCATCCTGAAATTTCACACAATATTCTATACGTATATTGGTTCTTAGATTTAGCAAGTGTTTCTTTCAAACAAGCAAATATTTTTTACTAAAACATCAAAGAATATTGGAATTAAGTTTGAAAGAAAAAGAGCAAATTATTTTAATCTGTAACATCCAGCACATTATGTAAACTTTTTTGTAATTATTCTGTAACTCGTTTCCCTAACTTGTGAACGTGGTCACATATCTGTTATCTCCTACCACACTCTGCGGTTTGTTATCTATAACATTTAATTTATAGACAACTATCTCAAGAATAGAGCGAGTGAGAGAGTGGAGTAAATTCTTGGTTCTCGTTGCCGAGACGTCGAGAAGTTTTAATTAAAATGCCAGCCATGCCTACTTGTAGACGATTTAATTTGGCTCAGCTTCTCCTTAACGAGGTGCTTCTGGGCGTGAAAATTATAAACAACGTTGCACATTTTTATTTTAACTCATTTATATTTTATGATTGCTGAGTGAGCTGTGATTAAATATTTCAGAAATAAGAAATAATTTGATTGAATTTTATCCAATTAAAATGTACGTAGTTAGAAAAATATATAAGGTACCATTTACATGTAAATAGTACACAGCGGCTATTGAATTCGATAACTAAGTATTGTATTCAAATTGTTTTCGTTCTAGTTGACTTTACAAGAAAATTGGTTGAACTACGAATAAAATAAAGCAAGTCTTCCAAAACTTTAGATTTATCTGCTGAATTTTTACTGTCAATTATTGCAAGATTTTTTTATTCGCCTGTCTATTGCTTTCTATTTTAATCAAATAGAAAAACTCGACAAAAAGATAAAAAGTCAACACTTTAAATCAATTCCTACTTCAATACCTATCATTTATTTTTTATTGATTCATATAACTTGCACTGCCAAATAAAATGAATCAAATATGCCATTAGTCCCATCTATTTAATTTCAACTCTATAGGCTAGTATATTGTTTTATAAACATATTAAATACAAAATTTATTCTAAACAAGAATCGAAACGGCATGAACAATAGGTTCAATCACCCTAAGCGATTCAGTTTCCACATGAACACTGGCAAAGTGGTTATTTCCGGTCAGTATGTCAATATCCGGTGCGACGTGACGTCATCACATGTGAGGGAATGTGATGGATGTGACAGCACGATGTGATGGGTAGATAAGATTGTAATAAAGTGCCAGCTGATGCTTATTGGCACACAAATTGTACGAGGGCTCGTGTGTAATTAAGATCTGATAAAACATTTTTTAAATTTTTTTATTTAACTTTTTCTTTTTATTTTCTTCGGATTATTCCAATTTAACTGTAGGTGAATTCACAAATTTTAATTTCCCGTTTTCGCGACAAAAATTACAAATGATTCAGATGAGAATTCCTAGACCTACAGAGTATAGTTGAAATAATCAGCACCGATTGCAATATTTCAATTTTACTCTAATGCTATTGCTGTTTTAATACATCTTCTGTTCATGATGATGCTTAATACTAACCACCTATTACATTAAATTATCAGCACTTATTCTCATTTAGCTTTTTTTCCTTTGAATAACGTTTTTTTAGTTGTTTCCCTCTCCCCACTAAAAAAGGACGATATTTGATAAGAGTAAGGCCCATACCCAACATGTCGATTTAAAAACGCCGCACTTATTGCTATTAAGTGTCTTTTTACTGGACTATGCTGATAATTTTTTAACCAATGGCATAAAAATGGGGTTTTCAATTTGTAGTTATTGTTGTAAAATCAATTTAAAAAATTGTAAATTGCTTAAGGGCCAATTTCTACCATTTTTCTGTGATCTCCTGGTTTAATTGATAGTAAAATGTGACAAACAAATCTCAAATAACAATTAAGAAAAGTGTGAGGACAACAGACTCTAAACTTCCGAGAACATTTTGCTTACGGTCTGACTATTGAGAACTATTGATAGGTCTCACTAGATTACAGTCTTGTGTGAATCTCACCGTAGTCTTGTCTGTTCACAGGTGGTTCCACGGACATTTGTCGGGCAAGGAGGCTGAGAAGCTAATACTGGAGAAAGGCAAGAACGGCAGTTTCCTGGTCCGCGAGTCTCAGAGCAAGCCCGGAGACTATGTATTGTCTGTCCGGACAGATGACAAGGTCACCCATGTTATGATCAGGTGTCAGGTCAGTAAAGGTTACACTTCAGAATCCATCTTAAGCTATAGGTTCACTTGTCAAGTGTATACTAAGTCTCTAAGGTTTGGAGAACTATCTCTGTGTTAAAGATCTATCTAACCCAGGGTGACAACTGCACAGTTCACTGAAGTTAGAGAGATGGGTGAACAATATATACCCAGACATATGTGTAAAGGATTGTGTACAATAAGTAATTGTAAAATGTCATTGATTTTAATTTAAATGCATTCAAGTAAAAGGTGTCTTTCACAAAAAAAAGCAATAGTTAACTTTCATTTTTTTCAATGAAGTAAATTCCAACCCTTTTAAGGGAAACCTGTAAAAACCATTAAAATTTTGTGTATATGCCGGGAATTTAACCCCTGCCTCCTCCCGCAACAAAGTGTGACTTGTTAACCACTCGGCTAGCAACACAGCCAAATGCTTTCTCAAATTTAATAAGTATTTACAATCCTAACAGAAAAATTAGACTTTAAAAATGATTCTAACAAAATTCATATTTTTTTTAAAAGGTAAATTCTGTCTCACAAAAGCACTTTGATAATTTCAAATTATTTCTATTATCCAACTACCAATGATCCATCTGGCACAGTCATTGTAATGAATTCAAATGGAAAATGTAAAATATTGTGAGTCAGGTCTGAACCGGTCTGAACTAGCCCTATCAGAGGTGACCAGTTTTCTTCTGGTAATTAACCATGCTGATACAAACAAGATAAGCTTATCATATTCATCATAGGTGTGACATGTATGTAAGTTCTATGAGTAATGCAAACTTTGCAGAATTTCCTTGAACTGTCAAAAATTCAACGATTTTTAAAGGTTTTGGGCTATTTTTATTTATCACACTAGTTGAACTTACAACATGATAATGGGGAGTAAAATAGAGAATTCTAAAAATCTGTTAAAAAGAAGAATAAGTTATGTTGAGACTTGTTCTGAATGGTCAAACAAGGGGTTGGTTAAATTACTAGCAGCAGAGCTAATTACCAAAATGTTAACATTGTTCGAATTTTTTTTTTTTTTTTTTTGTCCTAAGACGCTAGGCACGAACCTGGGATTGTTTTTCACATTACTTCAGGCTAGACCTAGGGGTTGCGGCATTATCACTTGGATAAAATCCATTGGTAACTTGGCGGGGATCGAACCCGGGACCTCAGGGACTGAAGTCCGGCGCTCTAACCACTACGCCAGCTCGCTCCCCAACATTGTTCGATTATTGCACAGTTACTATTGCTGGCCCTGACTTCAGATAAACAACAATTGAAACAATGATCCTAATGTGGCGTTACAGTATTTGTCTTAACGTTTTTATTTAGATTTCACTTTAAGTTTTAAGACTTTACTCTAGTTTATTTTTATATATTTCCGGTTTTTTTTTTGCTATCTAAAACTAAACCTATTTTAGACCTTTTAATGTTTAATTTAAATTGTTAGTAACATTTGCATGAATTATTGTACCACAAGTAGAAAAGTAATGTCTGAACCTACCACATGAAGCAATGTGTAGAGTTAATGAATGAATGAATGAATGAAACAATGCTTTATTTACATGATCTAAGTACAAGTTTTACAATACATTTCCATAGTATAACCAGTTCATGATTCACACAGCAGGCTCGCATTTTTCCAACTTGGTCTTATAAGACCGTCAGCCGGGTTGGCAAACACATTGTAAATGCTAGATAAAACAAGTACAGTACATTTGTATACATTCAAATTACCTTTCTGATGCACCATTAGGCCTATTTCAATTAAAAACATTTTTTTTATTTATTTTTTTATGATTTTTTTAAATTCTATACATTTATACATATGTTTGTTAATGTGTAGAGTTAAATGCATTAGGTTTTAGATGGTTGAAATATCCTTGATTTAAGAGCTGTTCAATTTGACAGTTATCTAGAGGTCCTTGGTTGTGAAGTCATTAACCTTGATACTTCACATTGCATTGATTGTTGTTGCAAAGTCTTGTATCTCATCTGAAATATTATACATTACCTCTGTACTGGAAGAGATCTAAAGGAAGCTTAATTTGTTAGAAATGTCAAGGAGGTAGCAAAAAGTCATTGAATACACTTCTAATTAGTGGTGTTGTTATGGTCTAGTTTTTAAAAGCTCTTGGCGTTTTCCTATATTAAATAATGCTCCATGTATGTTAAATAAACTTCATTAAAGATCCAGAGTTCTCTGGTATAAAGTAGTCCTTTACTGAGAGATAAGTCCTTATCTTTTCTTGATTGTTGTGGAACTAACATTTAAAGCGGGATACGGACCACTGCAACACAACATTATTACTAAGCAAAAGCAATTGGTGCTTCACAGGATTTGAACCCAAGTTTCCCACATAAGAGTGCTGGAAATATAGTACAAGTTCTATGAATTCTCAAAAAGTATTACCCCGTCAAGATTGTGACAACAAACTTGAAAATAAAAAAAATCATAGATACCTGATCTACTTTTTCCAAATTAAATCTCCAGTAGATCTTTGACTGATCAAGGTGATTGCTGAGGCTAGAAACATCAAGGTCAAGAATAGTGAGTGACAGAATCCACCCACAATGAAAGGCCCCGGTGAAAGGTCGGAAAGGTTTACAGCCACTTGATGGCACACTTAGTGGAACACTCTCCAAGCTAATTACAAGGGGATAAATACAAAGCTGTACTTACAAGTCGAGGGCGGACAATTGGGCACTTCGCTGAGTGAGAAAGTAACTTTGTACTGTATAAGGAAACTAGTATTATCGTTGCTAGAGTTGGTAGAATTTTAAAAATGTTTCAAGTGTAGAGGATCATTTTGTTTTGTGAGAGAAGACAAGGTTGACAATTATTGAGAAGATATAAGTGTGCTTGAATCGGGTGTTTGAATGTATGTTTAAGGATTTTATGGATTCATACTAAAATTATAGGTTTCTTCCTAAATAAGTAGATCCAGCAAGAATATATCTTACCTCAACTCCTTATCATTGAAACTTCTTTTGGTTTTCTGTCTCACTGACAATGCCTTTCCACTCACATCTTCTATTGCTTGAAGGGTAGTGCCTAAACCATCAATTTTCAACATTGTCGTCATTTCTGGGCATAACGCACATTAGATGTGTTGCTTGCCAAGTAGCTAGCGTCCAGTTCCAGACCTCGGTGGAGGGGTGACAGGCTCAGTCATACTTAAACAAGAAGTTAAAGAGGTTGGAACTCTTTTCTTAATAGTATTTGAGTTGCTTTCATAATGTCAATGATGCAGACACAAAATCTTTGATCATCCAACACTTCAATTCTACCACCCAACAAAAACTGTTTGCGAAAACATCCAACAACATCTGAAAGCCTAACTAGTTTGAAATCACAAAATAACAAGTGCCACAACAAAAAGGGTTCCAAGGACTTTCAGCATAATGGCACAATGATGGAGGGCAGAGTAAGGCAAACCTTTAGTGTGACAGTGTGTTATTAGTGTCTGGACAATAGGGGTAAAGTCAAGGTCCGAAACTGGTGTTAATGGTGCTTCTTGGGCTAATGATACTGCTCAAGGACAGCCGATGTGCTGAAGAGTGATGGTTTTGGTAGATTTTGATTGATAAGGTTTTTGTACCTGAGTTTCTGGAATTTCCAAGTGTTATGAAATTAATCATGAGAGAAATCCGTTTGGGATATCGCTAAGAAACATTATGTTTTCATCAGCTAAAGAGTTCTCAATCTCGTAGGTAGTAAAGGGCTCACTCAGCTGGTGGAGTAGTTAAAGCAAAAGCCTTAGGTCCTGGGGAGCCATTTTCAAATCTTATAATTCACAAACATAGTTTAGCAATACGATATCCTCAATTTGGTGGTTCAGTGGCCACCTTAAGCTTTAGATTTACCTATGGAGAAAACAGTGTTGGTTTTGTAGTTGATGACAACTTTATCTGTATCGGAGAATTTCCTTTGACAAAAAAAGCCTTACAATACAAAAAAAGTTAGCGGAACGATGTATTTCCCTGATTTAATTAAGCTTTGGAAATTATCTTACAAACAACAAGGGTGGAATTCTACTAACAAAATTATACTTGCATTGCAATTCTAATTTGTTTAGATGTAGCTAAAGAGTAAGTATAATTTTATTCAGGAACCAAGTCAGCATCCTCCGTTTGTAATCCCCATCATTGTATCATGTAGTTGATCAGCCCTAATTACTGTAAAAATTAGAGATCTGAGAAAATATAGGTGAAGTTTTAATTACATAAAATCTCTTACAAGATTGAATAATTAGAGGCTTCAAGAGAATAATTCTTTCCGTGAAACTAGGATGCAAGACAAATTAGCTTGGTTACATGAACAAAAAAACCTGCTAGTTAAGTGCAATTAATTTTTTACCCTGCAGTATTAAAACTAGTTCTAGTTAGTCAGTGTTCTTATAGAGTCTACCTAGTGAAAGCAGTTTGAGATTTTATCTTTGTGGTAGGTGCTTTTGGCCTCTAAGTTGTTTACAAACACTTAATCCGTTGGATTGATATAAATGTTGGATCGGACTGAATGTGTCTATTGATTTTATTAATGAGTCCTTGAAGACTTCCTGAAATCAGAGTCTAAGATGCTGTTACAAGATTGACCTTCCCCCCTCCACCCCTTTGATCAATCAGGAATCACTCCAGTTTCTCACCTTCCTCGTCTAAATATGGGTTGAGGTCTGGCGATGTTTGTAGATTTGCATTTTCAATTTAAATCCTCTTAGTTTGTTTAAAAAATGTGTTTGTCACCTGTAACATTTAAAAACAGTCTAGTTTCTTTTTTGCAGTGGAGTTTTCTGTGTTGTCATTTCAAGATTATGAAGAGTGTTATTTTATAAGTTATTTAATTGTTTTAAAACCGATTCTCCTTTGGAACTCTAAAGGGCTTTCTACAGCTAAGTTTCTGCGAATTATCAAAAAACAGTAACTTGAGGTATGTCTTTTGGAATACATTTTGCATATGTGAAATATCCAACCTGGGTTTAGGAATGAAACTAGTGCCAAAATATACAATCAAGTGTATACAAAATCCGTAAAATTATCTCTTATTCAAATTAGTTATACCACAAATTTATTTGCGTTGCACTGCATACTTAGGTATATTCATCTTCACTGTACGTAGTCTTGTTATGTTATGCACAATCAGACTTTTGGTTCCTGAAGTATACATTCCTCCGTGGAACCAGCTGAAGGAAATTTTTTATTGGAAAAGAACACAGTTGACATCCTTACAAGAATTTTGGCAAATAGCAATACACTGTAATAATAAACCTCCTCGGAGCACCGTGTAGTAGGAGGCACTGACCACCGTGAGGTGAGGTGAACCTAGACGTAACGCTTTCAGCCCACATTAACATAAGTGTTGCAAGCGTTCTGCGTTGTGCTCTCAAGGTTGTTGTGATTGTCGCTGCTTACAATGCGGCATCGCACCTGTCACCACTCACTCAACCGTCACACCCACTCACGGGGAATGATGGGGAAGTCGGAGAAAAATTAGTCAAAAATGTGGATTTTGAAAATGTTGAAGGCTGATGACCAAGTTTTATTAGTGGTTTTAGGAATTAAGGTGTGGAGCTGAAATTTATCTTTGGATGTATACCCTCTTCTCTCAACAAATATTCTTTTCAAACCGATTCATACTAATTAGGTTTAGATAGTTACAATAAAACGTGACCAAATTTCAGTAACTATTTTTTTGAAAATTTCTTGTAAAAATACCTTAAAAGTTATTAAAAACGGAACAGTTTTTTCCTCACCTTCCTTTTAATTCCAGTTATTAAAAAATGGAACAGTCTTTGCCTCACCATTCTTTTAAATCAACTCATGAGTTTAATCTTTGGCGAGATTCTTTAAACTTTGTGCTTAAAGACCAGGTTTTTGTGTGTATTTTGGTAACTGTTGTAAGAATAGTTTATTTTATAAAACCTGTTAATTTATAATCATATGTTTTTTTGTTATTTTGTTAAAAAAGGTAAATAAAGTTGGTTGGTTTTGAGTTATTTACACAAAACAAAGCATTAATTTAATTTCAAGTAAATAAGTAGACTAACGTTTAAAATGTTCTCATGGCATCATTTATCCAATCAGTACTGAATTTTTAATGCACATTGTTAACTGATCTTTTAAGACATAGTTTGTTGTCCCAAATTATATTTAGAGGAGTAAGTTTTTAATTTTGTTATCAATGAATACATTTGAATTGATAAGTAAAGAAACTTATTTGTTTTAATTTGGACAGGATATGGTCACGTATTGTGGAGTCTTGATCATGTTACAAATAAACTTGTGGCCTGGTTATTGAGTGCCATCTTCAGGACGATTAGACTCATAAAGAGTGAAGTTTAAAAACATGGAACTTCAGTGTGCCAAAGTAAAAACTTCCCAGAAAAGTATAACACTTTCTAAAATCATGGTTTCCACAAATAAAAAAGACGACAATGAAACCGATACATTAGTAATACACGAAAAATCAATGATAACGTTTTTTGCAGGATAATAAGTACGACGTTGGAGGAGGAGAGAAGTTTGATAGTTTGTCGGAACTCATCGAGCACTACAAACGCAACCCGATGGTGGAGACGAGCGGAACAGTGGTGCATCTGAAGCAGCCCTTCAACGCCACGCGGATCAACGCTAGCGGCATCGACCATAGGGTCAAGGAGCTGCAGGTTAGAAATGCTTATCTTAGACAACTTTTTGGAATACTAGACCAATTTTACAATTTGAACTTGGTAAAGTTACCTCAAGATTTTACTCTAGAATCTAGATACAGTGAATTCCTTCTTGTTTGAATTGACACTTTGGTCAGCCAGTTACAGGTGACTCATACACTTGCACACAAATGTCACTTCCTTTATAACTATGTAAACAAACAAGCTGCAATATCTTTGAATAGACGGTCCGTTCACTATTCAGTACTTTGGTCTTATATTGGTACTAGCCAGTCCGACAATTATTGACAGCCACCCATCTTGTTATTATTAATCGTGGATTAGTTACTCTAGCCTAGTGAGTTACTCTTTTGTGTTGACTTGTGATTAATTTACTAATATTCCACTCACAATATGGGGTTTTGAAACGTATCCATTACTATTTTGTATTTATATATGCTATTCTACTTGCTATGCTCTATTTAGTCTTTTTTGTTCGTTTAAGAATGTGTTCCCAAAGTACTGGTATGTAAACAAGAGAGGGTCTACTGTACGGTATGTGAAAAATCTGTTTATGATTAAAATCACTTCAAAATCTATTCATAATGTTTCCACTGTTGTGGTTTTCGGGGTAGACCCCCCTGAGTGTGACATCACTAACCTGATATGCTGACCTTTTTACCAGGTTGCAGATAGATTGCCTTCTATAAATAGGAATAGCTTTTATACACTCATAAAACATGCAAAAATAGGTTCAATTTTAAATTGTAAAGTATCCAAAATCAGAAAGCATTAACAATTCAAATTAATGTGTTAAAAATTACACTCAACTAGAAGCAAATGTCATTTAACAGAATTATTTATCTGTCAGTGATTTTAGTGTTGTAAGCCTTTAGCATGCTTGTGAGCATAAAGATAATGACATCGTAAAATTTATAGGTTTGATGATAAAGTGTTAGGAATGTGTAGACTTGCCCTGAAACATGTTTAGTTGTGCATTATCTGTTTTCCTGAAAACTGAACCTGCAAGTTCTTTGTGGTTGTAAATTCACAGCATGACTTTGATAAATTCAGTGTTTCCTCGCCAATTTCCAGTTGAGTGAGACTTTGTAAACAGTGTTACCAAAATTAGTAAAATGCTTAACGCCTTTTGTAAGGTTGTCTCGAGATTGTATAGGATTAGAAACTTGGTATGTGTGAATAATTTTGTTTGCTTTTATGACTGCTAAATTGTATTTCAAATTGTAAAATTCTATACTGATGTAAGTTTTAATTGATTTTTTTACTAAAATAGGTTGGCAGCCTCTTTTAAAACTTACATTTCTTGTTCTCATAGGATGAAATTAAAAATAATCTTAAATAGATAGATGTTTCTCAAAATTAAGTTATACTCTCTGAGGCCATTGTATTACTTGATGAAATCACCAATCAAGATTCTTGTCTATTGCCTATTGTCTAAGTGTAGTGGAAAGTCTTGAACTTGCAAAGAAAAAGAATTTAAAACTCACAAGCTGTAAAAAATTATTACTTTGTAAGTGATATAACACAATAATCATCAACTGAAAGAGGTATAATATAACTTCCATAACTCCACAAGGAAATTAAAATGGTTCTGATCTTGCTTAAATTTTCAAATCTTTAAAAATGTGATTTTCAAAAACTAAAAGTGTCAATATTCTTCATTAATTTGTTTATGGCTTGAGGTATGATTCTTCTGCATATAAAAATTTTGGATCCAAGCATTAAAACACACTACTACTACTACTACCGTACTTGTACTATTTTAACACGTTTGTCCTAAAACCTTTTTCTGGCTGGTAAATTCACTAAAATATTTTCACTCTATGCAAATTGATTGAAAAACAAAACAAACCGAAATGTCATGTAAGTTTTACTGTGGGAATCTAGGATTAATTTGCTAGTCAACCTAAATTGTGGTATTTAGGACTGACACAAATACCAAGTATTGTTTTATCGCATGATGTTTAGAGTGCCAATTAATCTGACAGCAGCTGTTTCTAGGGGTCATTTCCAACAATGTGCAAAACTAAGAACCATGTCATTTATAAAGGGAACAGATAATTTATGCGATATAGATTTGGGAAGTAAGCCAAAGTTGTAATGCCAAAACCGTAAACTTACTATCTTATTGCTGAAGTAGGATATTTGTAACTTCTTTTAAAGTGAATAGATATTTTCATTTATACATCTAATTTTAAAGCCTTTACTGAATAATGCAAAAGGTATAGGTTTTTTTATGTTATGAAATAGATAATCCTAATTTCATTTTCAATTACTTTGTCAGTAAATTTTTCCTTTTTTTAGTAGCCTAGGGTATCAAACTATAATACATCTAGAAAATTGTAGTTATTCAATGGACTTGTGCAAGTTAGTTATACAGTTTTGTAAGTACGAGGAAACTTGCTGAAAATCTAAATAGTTTTTTTTTTTCATACAGTACATACATACTCTGCTTTAGGTTTATCTTGTTTGCACAATATTTTAATTTTGAAGTTTCTATATATTGTTCTCACATAAAATCTGTTACATTTTTTTATGAAAGATTTGTTTAGTTTGTTTTAACACATTAGCTACCAAATATACTCATACATCAGTTACAATGGAGTGTGACGGTCGGTAGGGAATAAACCCCACTATAATATAACTACCCTAAAATAAGGTAAAACAACTCTTTAAAAGACTAAGTAACTTGTCAAAACAGGATTTTACAGCATGAGAAGTCTCTTAGTAGTCCAAAATCAATGCTCTTATCCAAGGCACATTTGAAGAAGGGTTTCGTTGTTCCAGAAAGAGAATGCCCAGCTGACTGGAAAAGCAGGGTTCTGGGAAGAGTTTGAGTCGTTGCAACAACAGGAATGTAAACACCTGCTGTCTCGCAAGGAGGGACAGAAACCTGAGAACAGGAACAAGAACAGATACAAGAATATCCTTCCATGTAAGTATACCTGCATGCTGCATTACTGTCAGTAAAGATGTATGTAACCTACAAGATGTTGTTCAAAAATTAAGTTTGCCATTTTAACAAATTTTAGCCTTAAACTCTTGTGATAATCGTGTATAAAATGTTAAATAAACTTTTAAAGTAATGATTTTTAATATTTTGATAGGAGTTTATATGATTCTGCTCGGTTTTCTAATGAGCTGAGCAGGTTACAACCTAGGGTGGCAAATTTTTGGGTCAACAAATATTTTTGTACTAGCTTTGCTTTTTTATAACTAACCTGAAGAGTGAAAAAAATTCTTAAACTCAAACTCCTTACCTACGGTTGTACCTCATATTGTTTGTTGTAAACAAAATGGCGTTAAATAGGTTTTTTGCTAAAAATTATCAGAGCTTGGGACACGTCAAAATAAAATAAATAAATATATTGTTGAGTTTTTATTTTTATGTGTCTACTTGTACAGTAAACAGTTAATTTCCCTACTGAAGAAGCCTATTTTTTATAAAAAGATATCCAAGGCCGTAAAATTGATTACTATGTAATAAATCTTTCATGTTATGAATTTTTAATATCTTGTAGTACAGTATGTTGAATACACAAACTTTCAAATACTGAAGTAAGTGTATTATTTCTTGAATCCGATTCATGAGTAAAGAACGCAGCCAGGTGGTATCAAGCAAACAGTGCTAGTTTGTCGTTTATTGATGAAAAGTAGGGGGGACATAATTTATATGATTAAAGTATTATGATTTGGTTGATGATTTCCAAATATTTGTGGCCTCTTATCAACTATTTTCCTCATATTGTTTATAGGTTATTAATTCTCTTTTATGGTTTCTTTCAAATTAAACATCTGTAATTGTTTACAGTTGACCATACAAGAGTGAAGCTGAGAGATGTCGATCCTAACACTCCAGGGTCGGACTACATCAACGCCAATTACATCAAGGTATTTTTACAATATGGTTTTTTTTTTATTTAATCATTGTTATAGTTTTGAACGATTTTTATTTTCTAAAAGCCTTGGTTAGTATTAACCGCAGTATTTACTTTCAAGCAAATAAAGGTAAATTCTGCTATTGCAGGTCTACCTGGTGGGAGTTTTGATGTAAATAATTAAAAATTAGTGTGTTTAGTGAGAATGATCTGTATTGTAACCATCATGCAGTCCGAAGGTTGTAATTTAATGTTATAGCTGAAGCTTACAATCATTGTCATAAGTCTTTGTTGTGGTATGGAACTAAATGACAATGGTCTGATTAACTCTTGTCTGGCTAGTTAATACATTAAAAATTCCCAGTTAATTTTAAAACATAAATCACAGAGATATTGTAAAATTCTGAAATTTTGATCTCTGCAAACACTAAATTTTGATCGGCTTGAAAATCCAAACGCCCACATACCTCTAAAGTAAATGATACAACCCAATCTCCCAGACCCACTTGAAGATTCCGTCGGAGACCTGCAGACCCCTACACGAATATATCCTCTTATTATTTGTATTTTTTAAAAGACAGTGAATCCTCCCTTATAGACACAAGAGAAGAGTGGTGAATTGTAATGTGTTCAAAAGACAAATAAAGATTCTTATTTTCATTCTTATGTCTGTCTACAGACGGAAGAGGACAGTGAGTGGCCTCAGAGAGTGTACCTCGCCACTCAGGGCTGTCTGCCAGCTACAACCCCTCACTTCTGGCAGATGGTGGTCCAGGAGAACACCAGAGTCATCGTCATGACCACCAAGGAGATGGAACGCGGCAAGGTAGTTGACCCTCTGTACTGTACGGTAGAGTTTACTCAGTGATAAAACTCTCTGAGAGTGGATTCTACTTATAAATAGTATAATAAAATGAAGGCTTATGCTCAATGGAATGTTCTTCGTAAGCTTTTGTACACTGCACGTTGACACACACATAACTTATCTGTGAGAAGTCAAAACAACCTGAATAGTAGACACAAGGTTTACCCACATTACACCAGCGCCTTCAGTATCAGAATGTGATTTTCCAATCTTGGCAAATTCCAAATGGTAGAGGTTTTAGTTAGTAGATCGAAAAAAGCTTCTATAAACATTCCTTTTTGAACGAGCATTGATTTTTTTCTCTGCTTGAAATTGGTTTTTGATGATTTCAGTTTACCAAATCAGTTTCATGCCCATAAATGAAAGATAAATAACCTTTTTATTACTGTAATTTAGTATTGGAATAGCAACAGTGCTAGGTAAATATTATCCTATCAAATAGTGTTGCTTATGTTATTTTATTATAATATGTTTAAAGGCCATTGTAAATTTTTATATTTTCCCTTGTTCTTTAATGTCAAACTTTAAAAAAAAAACATAATTTATTCTAAGCTCATATCAAACAGCACCAGAATTCAGAAATTTTTGCGATAGGGATTGAGCCAGCAACTCCAGATTTGAATGCAAGCCCTATAATTGCACTATAGATTCAAATGATGGAGGATTTAGGAATTTTGAGCCTGTAGTTCTAGCTGTGACAAGAGTTCACAAGAGCTAACTTCAACTTGTGAACTCTTTTCTCAGAACAAATGTGCGAGATATTGGCCAGAGGAAGGTGAGTCCAAGGAGTATGACCAGGTGACAGTGAAGAACCTCTCACAATCCTCCACGGCAGACTACACTCTGCGGGAGTTCCTGGTCACATACCAGGAGGAAGACAGGGTCGTCTATCACTACCACTTCCAGGTAACTTGCGTCTTGGTTGATCTAAAACAAAAACAGTACCACAGAGGAGTAAGGTGCAGAGGAAACTTGATTGTGGGACATCATTGTGCCTTGAGCTCTAGTATGTTGTGCTGGAAATATACTTGTGACAAGCTAGGAAGAACCTGAGTGGCAAGCACTGGGCAGAAATTCCTATCGCAAAGGGCACAGGGTCTTTCTCCACTGTGAAGGTTGTAGTGCATGATGGCGAGAGGGCAATGTTGGACTTTGCCACTTTAAGTGTACAATTGAAGGTTTTTTTCTTAACCTAATTTCTCTGTGGTATCTTCTAGATGGCATTAACAGTATCGCCAGTTTGTCAGTTGCCTTACATTTTATCAACTGTAGATACATGTATCTTAACTTAAGAATTGCCATAGCCAAACACCAATATGAATGGTATTATGACACAATAGAATTACCTGGATACACTCAAAAATATTTGACTGTGTAAACAGAGTACATGAAGTTAAGAAATAGTAGTTTTTTGCTATAGTAGAGCAAATTCGGCCATTTTTGATACTGTTTTGTGGCACCATTTTGGAACATTAACCTTATAACTGCCCAGTGCCTGTGTAATGGCCATGCATTCTTTCATTCTAATGAGTACCGTCCCTTGCTATTAGGCTAAATGTGCTTCAATTAAAAAACTTCAATGTAGAAAAAATTGAAAAATCCTCAAATTTCGTCCAACTTGTAACATTTATTAGAATTAGTAGTGAATACTTTTCAGAAATAAATTTCTTGGCTGATTTTAGTCTTTTTAGCCTTACTTTTCCCTTCCTAGTAGGCCAGTTGTGTGGAATTTATCAAGCATAACAAGAGGTGAGCAGATACAATACAAGAAAAGTTTTTTGGTGGCACTGGATCACAAATCTCTGACATCCCTGCTTTGGTTTTGTATTGCACCCTATCGACTAAGCCACTGAATTACTTCTACCACTTATTTCCCCTACAGGTTAGCTTTTGAAACTGAAATTTTCTCATCCTCATGACTTATTCTAACATGATATCTGTGTAGGCATGGCCAGACCACGGTGTGCCAGCTGACCCAGGTTGTGTGTTGAACTTCCTGCACGATGTCAACGCCAGACAGGAGAGTATACCTGGCGCAGGCCCGGTGCTGGTCCACTGCAGCGCAGGCATCGGTCGTACCGGGACGTTCATCGTCATAGACATGATCCTTGACCAGATCAAGCGTCAGGGTAAGGAAAATAAACCACCACACTGATTGATTATAATGACAGTTCAAGCAGAAAACTGTGAATAGTTTATTCAATAAAATCCTTCCATCTCGTCTGATGGGTGATGGTATCTTGATTAATTGTGATAAACAGGAAGAACAAAATTACTAGTTTTGTGAATAGAATTGATTATACATTGGTTATGGATGTAAACTAGGGCAACAGAACTTTAAACTGAATTTAAGTGAATTCGATTTGTAGGTAAACTCAATTTCATGTTCAGTACAGGTCACATTGGAGGTAGTTTTACTATTGTCATTTTGGGAAACATAACCTTTGTCCTTTACTGTAATGCTAGTTGCATCAACTGTCCTTGTAGCCCTTGTGTGGGCGCTCATGAGAGCATTTTACTTATTTTTGTACCTTCATGTTTTTTTTTGTTTGTTTTTTTTTATTGAGATTTTGACTTATTTGAATGTTTTTGGAACAGTCAAAATTAGTTAGTAAAACTTTAAGAAAAAACAAAACAGTTAAAGAGTTTGCAGGTCTTGGCGATTTAAGAATAGCTCACTGAGATTCTGTTGAAATACTCTACATTGGCTATGTTTGTCATATAATGCACAGTAAATGTGGAATGGAGTTTAGCTGCAGTACTTTATCACTATTAGCATTTCCTAGGCTGTGTATCTTGATCACCTCCATTGTTGTAGGTCTAGACTGTGAGATAGACATCCAGAGGACCATACAGATGGTGAGGTCCCAGAGGTCAGGCATGGTCCAGACAGAGGCACAGTACAAGTTTGTCTATCTGGCTGTGCAACACTACATACAGACTGTGTCTCAGCGGATGCAAGCCGAACAAGTAAGTTATCAAAAAAATGGCTGTGTCTTAAAATCTAGACAGAGCACAGAGTCACCTAGATCTAGACATTAAAAGTATCACAAAAAATAAATAAAAATTACAAAAAAATTACAAATTTTCTCTGGGAGGACCCCTGGATTTCCCCTTTATTCTTGAAGGGTATGGTCTTGTTTGATTCTAAAAATGCAGAAAAGGGGTCAAGAATTTAAAACTAAACTGGACATTAATTTGCCGTTACTGTAGAAAAATATGATTTCAACCAAAGTAGGTGATTCAGAAAACTGATTATTCAGTGGGAACAGGTTCTCTCACACTTATGTTTCCCGTGTTTGACTTGTGACATATTTTACTTTTGACCTCTGACATTTATGTCTCCTGACATGTTCCACGTTTGTCGCAGAAGAGCCTTCAGCTGGGTCGTGAGTACACCAATATCAGGTACAGCAGTGAAGTGAGCGTTTCGCCGACCATGACGTTGTCGCGCAGCACCACGTCACTTACAACGCCCGTCGCACACAGCTGTCGCGTGACGCAGCCCACGCGAGCTGCCAGTGACGTGCACCTGCCCAGGTATACATCTACGCTACAATGTCGGCCGACCAACCTTGCTTACTACGCCTCCCATCTATTGGATTGATTCAAATTCTACATCTCATTTTATTAATTTTTCCATTTCGTTGGGATCTTTTAGGTTTTGCATACATCTTTCAGTTATCACTTTTAGGAATCTAAAAATATATTACGTACTTTCTAAATTTTAGATTAAATCTTCGATTAAAGTCTGGTCTGTTAAGGTGTTTTCTTAATTTACAGAAATTACATTTTGAAAAGTATGACACAAACCACAGACACAAAAAAAAAAACAGATAACTAGTTGTTAAGATTGACAATCTCATCAAATTATAACGAATCTTGATAAATCATCCCAATTTGTGTGAAAATTTTCAACGACTAGCTATAGTTCTTTTGAAAGTTAGTAACATTTTAATTAGTATATTATTAGGTAAATACATATTGAATTTATTAATTAATTCCCTCCTGAATAAATACTACCAAATATTTTATTCAGAAACATTTGTTTGGATTACAAATTGACCTTTAGATGAATTTTAACTTTAAAACCTATTCAATATAATATATTATATTTTTGGTTAAAAACATTTATGTTTGTTTAAAATGTCAATCATAATTTATAATTTTATGACTTTTCTAAAACGGAAAAAAATAAAAAAATAAAATCTTACTAAAGAAAGAAACTCTAGTAACAACCCAAATTTTGTTAAGAATATTTTACTAAAAAACTGTACATCATTGTTCCTAACGTAAACCTTACTAATAATGATTAAAGTGTTCCAAAGGGATCTCACAGTTTTAAATTACCCCCAATTTTGGACATCTAACAGTTTATAGAGATTGAAAACTGGGATATAATAGGCCTACGGTTATAAGTGCTCTAAAATCGGTCCAAATAACATTGAATATGCTCAAAATTCTTTGTAAATCCGTCATAGATGGAGGGTTGAGGCAGTAAGGAATGTTGTCGGCTGGTGCACCTTTTGTTTGTTTGCTCACCCTGTCTTCCAGGTTCTAGACTGTATTTGTTGTACAGGAAGGGCTCAATATTCTTGGAGTTTCTAATAGAAGTCTGATCATTGTTTTTGTATCCTTCGCTCCACACTGCCATCCCATCTCGAGAGTTCCCAATTTTATTCTCACCCATGGAAAAAGTAAGTATCTTTTGTACAGATGCGTTGACATTTTTAGATTTAAGGTGGAATGCATTGGAGTTGGGTCTGCATAAGTTTAGTTTTATTTTATTTACTTCATTATTATTATTTATTATTACTGTATTTACTATTTTATTTTCTTCAATGTTTAAAACTGTTTAAGACAAAGTGATAAAATCGTTGTTTTTTTTTATCAATCAAACCAATTAGAAAAAATAATAAATTAAATATAAATTAAAATTATAATAAATAATAGTTATAATAAATTATAAATCAAACCATAAATTTTTACTATGATTAAATGAGTGAATCATAGAAATTTTATTTAAAAAAACTATGTAAATATGCAAATTAATATTTCAAAAAGTATCCTTAGAGTGTAATTCTTTTCTTGTTTTACACACTAATGATAACTAGTTTTGTCATAAAAAAGATTAATTATTTTCTCAAAGTAGTATTGAAGTTTTTCCTATGTTTTCAGTGTTATTTTATTTGTTCTTTGAGTTTGAATAAGTTTAAAATAAAATTATTTCAGTTTATTTCCTAAACAATGACATTTGTATACCTTAAATTCTGTTATATTTTTATTTAGTTTTACAAAGTTAAGGCCTTTGTAAAACTAAATAAACGTTAACTGAGTTTTTAATGTATTAATACTAGGTTTGGAATGTTTGAACTGTTTTATTATTATTGCTTTTCATAATATCAAAAAGCCAAATTTGGTTAAGAAAAAATGTACAGTAGGCGATTATTTTACAAACACAATTCTATTACAATGTTTTCAATTTTTTTTAATTTTGTATTTCAGCGTACGAACTTCTGAGTAGCAGACTGCAGAGTGTCTCAAACTTCAAATATTTTAATCATAGTTGAGATCCTCGCTACATCAGTTTGTTGTGTTTCAGACCGCCGGAAGACATTCCTCGGCAAATCTACGAGAACATACCACTGAAGGAGCGCAAGCTGTCGGCAACAGGCTACAACATCGGACCTCCACCGCCGAGCTTGGCGCCTCCCCCTCCACCTCCACGCAAGTCGTGACCCGTCGACCACCAACGTTGGTCGGGATCATATTTACCTGTAAATTGCGAGGGTTGTAATTATTGTTAATCGTCGTGCTTCTAACCACCAAGCACCTTTATGTATATAAAGAGATACTAATATATTTTTGCTCTGAAGAGCTGTGACGATGTTATAAATGTTATGTAAATAACTGTTGACGCTTTTTTGTATGCACTCGAATCGTTGGTGATAAAATTTGTTTTGATTCCAAACTCCGTATTCCTGTTTTATACTGTTTTTTAAGTAGCACTGTAATGATCATTTTTAATATATTTTTATCTGTTTTTAACTTTTTGCACAATAATTTATATCGTTTAACACCGCTTATGCTGGAGTCAAATTGTGAATGAATACAATTACAGGTGGAATTTTATTGAAGGGAACAACATAACGGTTGTTCTAAATAATCTTTTGGATTTCCTTGGGTGAGAGTGGAATTGTAACTTGTGTAAAGACGTCTAGTTCCGGCTAGACTTTGTATGAGTTCATCCAAGTCATTATTTATTAAACCATCACAAAATCATAACCTGGCTTTTGTATATTCATATAATACTTTGGTCAGTATTGTTATATGTTGCATAATGAAATTATATTAATTTTATTGCAATTTTCATAAATGAAAGTGTATGTTATCTTACTTATTGTAATTATTAAACACATTCATGGTTGTTCTGTTTTGTTTTAATCCACATTTCCTGTAAATAACCTTTTTTGTAACTATCAAAGGTACGAGGTAAGTAAGTTAACCTTGAAATAGAAAACCATAATACTGTATTTAAGTCTTGTTATTTTATTTTAACTACGTTTTTACTGTTGATGTGAATTAAAATAAACCTTTGTAGGGCTATTAAATCGCAATTAATGAGAAAACGAGAACCACCAAAGAACTTCTCCTAGTAAACACAGCATAACAGTTGGTCCCAAATGAATATATTGACTGTCAAGGTCAAGTTAGAACACATAATATGGGGATTATGAGTGGATGTTTTGATGGCTCAATCCATGGTCCATAATGCGAGGTACTGTGGAACTAAGGCATTGATTTAGTTCTCGCCTCAGTGCTGACACCTAGGGAAATTTATCATTTCAGTTTATTTTTGTTCTGTTCCCGTTCTTTTTTTAAAGGTCAGCTACCTCTTAACCTCGGGTTTGCCGGTCCACAAAGGCCATGGGCTTTGCTTGGAATGTATCCAGCAAAACAGGCTGTGTGCCAGCAAAGTAAAAGAAATGACTGCATGGATAAAATTTAATGGCCATCACCAGGACGCACAATCACGACAACGCTGCCATTGATTTGTAGTCCGTCTCGCTATTGACTGAGCCACCAACTTACCTTGCTTTGCTGGACATGTTCTATGCACAGTCCAAAGCCCATGTAGGCTTGCAAATTTAAGGTTATAAAATGTCTGCTAACTTTTTTAAAAATGGAAAGTTCCATGTGTGGGATGGAACTTGTGATTTCACTACGATCACCGGGTATGATGATGTCTTCATAATTACAGAATATGTTCACTATTTTGCTGTAATTGTAGTAGACGTTCATGATTTTGCTGTGATTACAGTAGGTAGTTGTTCAAATTGACCTCTAACGATTTATTTGTTTTTAAATAAATAATTTCCAAAACAACTTAATTTTGATATTCAACGATTTTTGCCGTTGTCAAAGGGTGGTAACATTTTTTACTCAACCAGAGGCGAAGAAGTCTGACCCACAGTCCCTTTTATTATAATAAAAAGTAAATGGTAATTAATTGTAAGGCAGTTTCCTAGCATCCTAGGTCTATTTTTTACCATATGGATTGTAGAGTGTCAATTTCATTGAAGTTGTGCCAAGTTTATTTCTAAACCCCCTAAGCTCCAGCCACTGACTAATGAGAATAGAGGGGCCTCTCTGGTGGTGTGAGGTGCTGGGTGGGGCTATATATAATACAAATATGCCCCTGTGATTGAGATTAGATTCAAATCGTCAATCTATATGGTATTCCTGACTAGAGACACAGCACCTTAGACTGCTTAGCTGTTGACCTCACTAGGATATTCAACTAAAAGCTACCCTCTTCTTTGAGCTTTTTCGCTTTTTTAAATCCTCAAAACTTCTCTAATTCTCTTCTAAGATCGTAAAAATGTGTAATATACTTCCAGCTTTATTGATTGCCATAAAGCTCGACCCTGTAGATTGAAATACAGATTAGATTGCAGTTTGACGAGTCAATGGTTATAAATCACATTTGAATACACTGTTGGATAGGGAAATGTTACTTTTGGGTCTTTACCTTCATTTCCCTCCATGAAACTGTAACTGAGCATTTATATTTATAGCACTACTAGTTCAATGGCTTCTGGGATTGAGCGATGATGCTGCCGAAGAGCTCATCAGATCCCAGTATAGGACATGAGAAAAAATCGTATAGAAAATTTTTAATCTCTAGTATTAGTTGTTTGTGTCCAAATCACTTCAGCACTGGTAGCCTCATTCAATTTTATCATTTTTTTCATCTTTTTTTCATTTTCTTCTATGTAATATTAGCTTTCCCTATATTAGTTCTTTTACTTTCTCCCTCTACATAGTACAAAATGATAAAAATGTTCCTGAGAAAAGAAATAAAAAAACTTTGTAACAAATCCACAAGGACTATTTGACTCCATTCTAACTAATAACAAAATATTGTCCAATTTTTAGGCTCTTTTTAAAATATTTCCTGGGGATGTTGGCTACAACCTACAACCTACAACTGTCAACTGTCAAAAATGTGTAAACTATTTCATGTTTATGGTTATAATAAGCACATGGAAGGGGGTCCAGACTTTAAAATAAGGATATATAGCAATATGAAATCATTTGTAGCCAGAGTCCTAATTTTAATTATGTAATCATGAAAATTGGATTGGAATTGTGAATGGGTTGGTTTTAATTAAGTCCAAAAGCCTGTAATAAAAGTTGAAGGTTATTTTGGTTGGGGTTAGATTACAATGCTGTATAATTAACAGGTAATAGTGTGCCACCCACACTTTCAATCTCCTTGACTTGTACTGGCTAACTAGTGTTGTAGGCTTATAATCAGTCTGTGTTTAAGAGGTCTAAGGTATGGACGTGAGCTATATAGCAGAAATTATTACTGTTGAATTCCAAGCCCAAATGTCTGAAGATTTAGGGATTTTTGTTAGAACCCTTCATTCTAAACATTTGATTTCTCCATGTTAATCTTATGGGAGGAAACCCAAATCTATAACATTTAATGAAAAAGTTAAATACTTAGGAGTAAATTTTTCTGAAAGCATAGTATTTGACTCTGAAAAAACAATTAGTTCATTGATAAACAAAATTGAAAAATTAACATGTTCTCCTTTTTTAAGGTCTGAACAAAAAATGTATGTATTGAATCATAATATTTGGCCATCTTTAATATATCCTTTTCAAACCGCACCAATTAAGAAAATTACAATGAAATTCTTTGACGATGTTGATAAAGTGATAAGATCAACAACAAAGGAAATCTTAGATCTTCCAAATGATATGCCAAATTCTATGTTTTATACAAGTACTAAAAACAAAGGGATTGGGTTATGTAAATCAATGTGGGAATCATCAATCCAACATATAAACATATGTCGCGTATTAAAACAAACGGGAAACCCCTACTTACTTAATATTCGTCAATTTGATGAAGAAATTAGGTTTTGTCTGGAAAAATTAAATTTAAGTATTGAATTTATCGAATCAAAACCCAAGATACTGCGAGAAACCTTACGAGACTTAGAGTATCAAAATTGGTGTAAACTTCCATACAAAGGGAATGGGGTGGTTCTTTTCAAAGAATGTAACAAGATCAATAAAAATTTGGCTAGAGGTTGTGGCCTCACAGAAGCTGAGTTCAAACAATACTTGAAAATGGTCGGAGACGTTATTCCTCTTAGAAGTCTTCATGGGAGATCCAGGGATGGGAACCAGTGCAGGCATTGTCCTGTATCTGAGAAATTTACTCTTGAAACTCTTGCCCACGTCCTTGGAAAGTGCCCATTTAGTAGTCTTCTACGAAATACCCGCCACCATACCATCAGAAAAATCATAGCTGATCAATTCAGAAAGAAAAGTTACGAGGTCTATGAAGAGGTCACGGCTATAGAAGAAGAGGGCTCTGTGAGGCGGAGTGACATCATTGTTATAGACAAGGAGAAAGATTTCGGTCTCATTATAGACCCAACAGTTCGTCTTGAGACAAATGAAAATCAGCCCCAGGAAGTCCATGAAGAAAAAGTAAATATTTATAAGAAAACTATCCCATATTATTCAGAGAAATATAAAATATCAAAATTCGAAGTATATGGACTACTCATTGGATCAAGAGGAACAATTCCTCAACAAGTTGAGAAATTTTGGAAGAAATTCAATTTGGAAAATCAAGTGCTATATTTAATATCTTTAACAGCCATAAAATTTTCTATTAATATTTATAAGAAACCACCTATATAACAATTATCATAATTAGGTTTAAACAAACTTGCAAAATTTAATGTAATATTATTCTTTGTTCTACAGCAGACTACAATGTGTAGTAAGATTTCAATTTTTAAAATAAATTTGAATTTATATAATTTATATAAGACATATTGTGATTTTTCTTTTAAAAATGTTTCTATTTTATCTCTATTAAGGAAGATGGATTCTAGTTTTACAACAATTTTTTTAACATTGCAGCTGCCCATTGGATTTGTAAACAAGGTTGCCTTTCCTTTGTCAAATAGCTGACACAATTTTGGCAAAATTGTGTTGTGTTTACATTAGTTAGTGTGAACTTTAAAAATGTTTAAAAAAATTTCTGATCCCGCGGACTGTAAAGTGTGTTCTGTAATACAGTTTTTCTTTAACACTTGAAGTGCCGTTGACATGTTTGAACATGAAAATTGCATTTATTTCAATGTTAAGCAATGGCGGGAATTCCCGTCATCAGCACCCAACGTGTTAACGCCAGGAACCTGAAGCCTGCTGAAATTCATTGCCAACTTTCAGAAGTTTATGGAGAAAAAGTGATCAGTGATGTATTGGTAAGAAAATGGGTTCGGAAATTCAATGATGGGGGAACCAATGATCATGACGTGGCTCGCAGCGTGCGGCCATCTGTTTTGAGTCAGGAATTGGTTGAAAAAGAGAATGAAAAAAATGGTGAAAACAGACGTTTCACCATAAGAATGCTTTCTAATGAATTCCCACACATTGCAAAATCTCTTTTGCATGATATTGAGCGGGGTTCGTAGAGCGCCGCTTTGACAGCGATGACGACGCTCAAGACGTTGTTTGGCAATGGCTCTCTTCAATGGCGGCATCTTTCTATTAAGAGGGTATAGAAAAGTTGATTTCTCGCTACAACAAATGCCTAAACAATTGTGGAAACTATGTAGAAAAATAGTCTAAGATATCCTCTTTCTTGTAGAAATAAATTTTATTGAAAAAAATTATCTGTATGTTTTTTTCCAAAACGGTAGTTACTTTCTGGACAAGCCTCGTATAAGATAAAATTGAAAGGTTTACTAATCAAAAAATTGTTCTGTTCATAAAATAAACTTATAAATGCCTCAAATTCTAACAAAAGATGTGCAGTTAAGAAGTTTAATTGCAACTTATTTATTATTTTGCAAATTCTTTGACAAAAAGTAAATGTCACCGGCGGGAATCGATCTGGCGACCTTATGGACATCAACCGAGTACCCTATCTACCCTATACTACACCTTGATCACTGATGGCTGCGCTCCGTATCGTTGCGGTAATGGTGTTCCCTCAAGAGAACAGATCGAGTGATGTCACGCCCCCCCCCCCCCCCACTCCTTCGCAAAAGAGGTTCTCATTGCTTTCTGACCAGGAGCCTGAAACGCTAGTCAAAAACAACAAGGAAAAAGCAAACAAAAGAATTGTCACTACTCACACGTGTTTATAACAAGCCATCCACAGTATACTAGCAAATTACAAAATACAGTAAAATAAAAATAAAACTCAGTTGTAACTATTGAGCAAAGATTCAGATTACACTGAAGATTACTCGATATAGGGCAAAATAGTTCTGATGAAATACTTATTATATTACTTATACCTCTCCCACCAAAACTTAATCCCTGAAGCACTGAGGTATTCCAAGTAAACTAATTACATCTGGGGGTTTTAATTGGCATAAACCTATTACTGTATGCTAAATTCCAATGAAAAAAAAAACTGACAGAATCTAAATTTCTTTATAAGTAGTATCGAAAAAACGAAAAATCGTCAAAAGTCATTTGAAAACTAATAAGATTTTGTTTAAGTAAAAGTCAAACAACGGGTGTCAATGAATAGAGGAGAGAAAACTTCTGTGCGAGTAGTACACAAGTACTTAAACTAAATGAAGATCATAAAAATGTATCTTATTTTTGTTTAATTGTTGCATGCTTTTCATTACAGAGTTGTTATTATTTTAGCAATCAAATGTCTGTCCTATGGTTTGTAATCAAAATGTTTGTTCATGATATTGTTTTATTTTAACTATTAAACCCAATCAACTTCAACCAAGCAAAGCAAGGCTCGGACCTTCGGTACTAAATAATAAACGGTCGTAGTTTGCTTGTCTAGGGGTATATTTTGGTTAAATATGGCAAATTTGTTTATTTAATACTAAGCTACATTTAAATTAAAACCAAACTTGTTTCCGTCCCTGTAGTAGCAAACCTAAGTACTCATTAAAATTGGTGGTTTTAACAAAGACATAAATCTTATAATTTTAAAGAAATATTTTAGTAATCCAACCAGGTAAATGGGAATTCACATAGTCTGCAGGTTTATCATCAAGCCAATAACTAATGAATGAGGAACCAGTTTTGACTCCGCTTTGGATCGAACCAGCAACCTTTGATTTGAAGGTGAGCATTACAACCACTCGGCTACCCAGACAAAAGTGATAATTATTGTTTCCCTTATTTTGAGTTTATTGTAATTTTCAATGCCACCTGTTAGTGCACTAGTTCCAACAAGACACACATTCACTGGCAATGCACCCGAGCTTGCCCTGGAGCTAAGCTGCAGTCAACTGTGTCAAGGTTTACGTTAACTCAGCTCCAGATCTAGGGCAAGATCTCCTGTCGCTGCACCCAATGTTACTTTTACTAAGCCTACATACATGGTTTCTGTTCTCTACGATCCTAAGTTAGATTTAGTTGCAGATAAATCCATTAAACTACTGAGTTGCAATGGTATTGGAGTTGAGGCTATTTTTTAAAATCTTTCCTAATGTACTGTATTGTATAATTCATCAATTAGCATCAGAATATCGTTAAAAATAGTTTAGAGTGAAATGCTAAAACATTACTATAAAGTGTGATTTTTCTGACTATTTTTTCAGATGAATGATTTTCAAATGTTTTTTTTTTATTGGTTCTAACTATCTTTTAGCAAGTTTATAGAGAATAAGCTAATTTGTATAATTTTGTGGGGTTGAATTCAGCTCTATGTCTGGAATCTTTAATATAAACCGATCAAATCATTACATTAAAACAATTGAGATTTCTGTAATTTTGAAACTGGTCAAAATCGTTATAATAAGTCAGTGAGTTCTATATTCCTGCTAACTAATTTAATCAATGTAATGGTAGTCCATGTATATTGAAACAACGCAATGCATATTGCAGGCTGTTTAGTTTATTTTTCATAAAACTATCATAATCAACAGCAATAACAAAATAAATATATAAATTCCATTGACACAATAAGTTTGGCTAAGAAAAAACTAATTGATTCGTTTTGAAATTTTGTACTTTCCGCCAGAATTGAATTTCACAACAATGACTAGTCAGCTGATCGAGTTAACCACCACCCAGTCCTAACCTCAATGTTGCGCTGCACAACATAACCTTGACTCGAGAACGGCCAATGGAATGGTGTTTTGTAATCAGTTTTTCTCTGCGGTTGGAAGTCCAACAACTCTACACAGTCTTTTCACAAGTAAACCCCGCGAGTGAAAGTTCGGCTTTACACCGGCATTGTACTTAAGTGTAACTATTATTATTTATTGTTTGTGTGTAGTTGAACATAACCTAGGATACATCCAGGATGTCTGACAAGTAAGTACATATTTTTAGATCTTCCACTTTAATCATGATTGAAATTTCGAAAACAATTTGCTAAGTCATGCCTGAGAGAATAATTAGCGAATATTTAATCAGTCAATTGATGTGAACTCTTAAATTTCGCTCTTGTAAATTAATGGGGACTAAGTTAATGTTCACTGAATGCAGACTAAACAAATCAGTAGCCTAATTAATAGTTTACTTAGCTTTACTAAGGCTTCCCGTTATTGCTGTGTGACTGATTTAGCCATATGACTTATAATTTGCATAAACTACTGATTCATCATGAATAAGCTAGTTCTTTGAAAATGCTAAAAGTTACTGGAAAAAATACCTAGGTAGCCTCCAGGCCATTAAACTTTTGAACCGTGAAATTGAAAGGAATACAGAATACCTCCCTTTAGAATACATTGCCTTTACTTAAAACTCGCTTCAGTTTTTAGCAAATTTTCCGCATAAGCCTAACCTAGCCTTGGCCTGCTGGCCTGTGGTTAATAAGCTTAGAGGCCTTACCGTTTAGGTAAACCTTAATGGTAAGAACCAGGGACCGATTTTGAGGTTGAAAAGACAATCCAATCAAATTTACATTAGTAGGCCTGACTTATATAAGTTATTTGGAAATTTGGTATAAGTTGACCATTAATTAACTAAGCACGGTTACTGACAAAATAACGGAACACCGGTATCCTACATCTTAACATTTTAAAGTTATTCTTATGGAAAATAATCTGGATGTAACTTAGTTTGCTCATTTGTGGATAGGATATATATATTTTGTTTGAATTCGTGAATTTTTTATTTCAAAGCTTTTAATGTTTAAGTTGGATGTTAAAAAGTATTACCTAACTTTTTTAAACTATGTTTCAAACTTGCGATTAACTTCAGTTCTAAATTCATAGGCTACATGTTAGCTTACCCTATTGTAGCCTAATAATAACGGTTTAAAACAATTTTTTAGATGTATAAGGTTAAGTGGGGTAAGTGCACGCCAGGGGAAAGTGGACTTCCAGTTAATAATAAATTTGTTTACTAACCAAAAAATATGAAATTTTGGCCAAGAAGGTACCGGTATTTCAAACTATGACCCTTTTAAATTTACCTAGGTAAGTTAATCACTAAAAAATTCTCTTGCTATGATTTCTATGAGTTTAGACAAGTTTAAGAACCTCTTACGTTTCTACTCAAAACACAAGTGCCACTCGGAAAAATTAAAAAATTACCAAACATTGAAATACAAGGGTAAAAAGTTATGGTACCTGAAATTTGGTGATCTTACCTACTTATTTTTTTTAGGGGGAATCAAAAAATAACATTGTTATAGCCCTGGGGGGGGGGGGGGAGTACAGGTCAATAAATGATAAATTTTCTAAGAATAAAGAAAACTTTGTCTTGCTTGAATGACAAGAAAAAACTTGCGCTTTGAAAATTTTGATTTTTAAGGTTTAATATAGGAACATTCAGGGCCTAAGTCAATTTCAATTTAAAATATTAAGGTTTTCAGTCACCCTAAGTACTTCACCAATTGGAGGTGTCAAGAAATTTTTAACTTAATTAATAAAAAACCAAAATAAAGCTCATTTTCTTCTCTTTAAGACTTAGTACCGTAGGTGTTAATTCAATGAAATAGTGGAATCATTAATGTTTTTATTTTCTTTAGAATTTCTAATAAAGCTGGGTTTTCCGTTTTCTCTTGTGTAGGTTTACAAAAAAGTTCCGGTTTGAGATATTTTGATAAATAAAAAATCAAAAGAAAGCTTATTTCCCCCCTTACAATCCACTTGTCCCTACATCAAGTAATATGCAGAAGAAAGCTACAATAAGGAGGGGGGTGTACACTTACCGGTACCCCAGATCAAGGGGGAAGTTTAGGGTAGGTACAACCCAAACATAATTTTACAACAACAAAAAAAACACACACAAAATTCATATTTTTAACAAAATAAGAAAATCACATTTGCAAAACTTTCCAAAGAATAAGAGCTCAGAAAGTTTTAATAGGAAAGCACCTAGAAGTGCGTTTTTTTTTAAATCCGTGGTCAAAGTTGTACTACCTATGTGATTTGGGGCGTACACCTACCCCACTTGACCTTATCAAATTTAAATTGACATACAGTAAGCAGAAAGTATGTTTGAGCATAGTACGGTATTGTTAGTGTATGATCACAGCTTTCAATTAATTATCTTATCTCCCTATAACAATCACAATCTTAACACATAATCTTGGATTATTTAATCTTACTTAGTTCTGCACTCATATCACACAATCGTACATATACAGTCTTATGTAAGCAGCTAGTTTAACACTGTAGTAATCATTGTAATGCAATCTATGTTAGATATCTGGATACAAAGTTAATGATTGTCAGAATTTTTATTTTTCCAAGAATAGGACATAGTAGCCTATTTGCCAGTTATAAAGATATACAAAACATTTCACGCATTTCTACTATTTACTCTTTACCTTTTCTGTATTCGTATGTCCTTAAATACACATCCACTTGTGCGCAGATGATTACCGTAATTAATCTCTCTCTAAAGTAAGATGGGAAATCCACTAGAAAGGGACAGTTGCAATGCTACCATTAAAAATGTCCAAAATTTTAAATTTCTATCAATACAAAATTAACCAGCTGTTACTGAAAAAACAAAAAAACATTAAGCTAGGGAAATTATTGTGTTACAAAACTACTAAAAGTATTAGGATTATGTTTTGAAAGCTAACATTCTTGACAGGCTAACATTCTTGACAGGCTAACATTCTTGACAGGCTAACATTCTTGACACTTAATTATTCGAAATTCCTCTTTGACAAGTTACCGGTAGGCCTATTTGTTTATTTTTCTTCCAAAGTATTCCTCAATTAGGCTAAACCTGAAATGCTCATATTTTGGGGAAATTCAGACGATTATCTTTCTATAAAACCAAATAAGTATTGTCTCTGTTTGCTCTCCAAATTTTCATTAGTTTTCCGTTTCACAGAATCAATCTAGTGTGGCATTGAGGTATGATTTGATTTGGTTTCTCTGCCCTTGACCTACTTTACCTCCTTGAGGTCATCAACATTTATATTACATCACTTTATGGATCCTGGACTTGTTCTGGATATACTTAGAAATTTGATGCAAATTAGTTAATTTCAATGATAGTTTTCATGTTTTCCTTTTTATGACTCAGTGGAATATTCCTTTTGGCTCCATATTGCTCAAACAACACTTCTTAACAAGTGTGTTATACTCTGTGTTTCTTTCCAGAAAACGATGACTTTCACATGAAGATATTTTATCCATCCTTGGTTAATCTTTCGGTTAAAGAATGTTGTCTTACATGAACTTTTTTAACACCGCTCAAAAATTGGTGTGTATGAGAAAAAATCATTTGACAAACCAGTTTTTGAAATTAGTCGGTCCAAAAAGTTATGATCTTTATAGGTATGTTTTTAGTGACAGGATTTCTCACATTATGTATCTAAGTACCTGTACCTACCAACTTATTGTTTGCAAACTTGGTTCATGGCTTAATCATCAGCCTATTGTAAGATTGTTTTCAATGAGTGAATTCAACTCATGTTAACAGGCTTGGATTAGCCTACATTTTAGTTTAATACTGTAGGCCTAGTTTTTATTAGTGTATTGTATTCTACAAGTAAATCTGTTTAAGTTAAGCTTAAATTGAACATGTAATTATTAAATTTAAATTGAATTAGCAAAGCTCAAGTCCAATGTTCAAAGATTTGACTCCTGATAAACTAACTAAATCATGGGAAGTCGTCTAACTACATATCACATACCGGTAGTCAATAATCCTTTTGAGTGTTCATCCTCGTAGATTTTCCAATCTCTCTACCATGATCACAGCTTGATGTAAGGCTTTGATTTAACTTTAAAAATGAGATCTTTTAGATTTTGTTGGATTAGAAAAATTAACGCAAGTCCCTCCAATGTTTTTACAACTTCATCTCTGACAGCAGCCATGATATTTAGACTAGTTTGCAATCTGAACTTAACTAAGTTATTTTAAACAGTTGTATATATATCTAAACAACTTTCTTGCCGCAGAGCGGACATTGCCCTCATCGGATTGGCCGTTATGGGCCAAAATTTGATTCTGAACATGAACGACCACGGCTTCACAGTCTGCGCATACAACAGAACCACAGACAAAGTCGACTCTTTTCTCGCCAATGAAGCCAAGGGTACAAAAGTGATTGGTGCTAAGTCCTTGGAGGGGATGGTGAGGACACTGAAGAAACCGAGGATAGTCATGATGCTTGTCAAAGGTATAGTTGTGTGGGGTTTATTTTGAGTAAGTTACATGTCTTTTTAAATCTGTTTAGCTGCAGTAAACAATTATTTTATAAATGGGATTTTATGTTTGACTACTAACCAGAGTCTTTGTCCCTTTTATTGTTTGTTGGGTTTTCATGTAAAATGTATAGGACTATTTAATTAAAAAAATAACCTTTTACCCCTATAAAAAATTGAGTTCTAATTTTTCCATTAAGCAGCCAATAATTTTGGTAAATTTCAGGAACAATCTCTCTACTCTTGAATAATTATTATCCTGTACAAAAAACTCTTTTCTTAGAACTGAAAAGTAAACAAAATACAGTAATAGCCTTATCTTCTTTCACCATTTATTCAACTTACTCGTCTCTTGACTTATTTTTGGACTTTTGTAGCCGGTAGTGCTGTAGACGAGTTCATCGACAAGCTGGCCCCTTTGTTGGAGTCCGGAGACATAATCATTGACGGAGGCAACTCCGAGTACCAAGACACAACCAGGAGGGTAGAGTCCTGTGCCAAGCGAGGGCTACTGTTTGTAGGCTCAGGTGTATCAGGGGGAGAGGACGGCGCAAGGCACGGACCTTCACTTATGCCTGGTGGTAACCCGGCGGCATGGCCCCACATCAAGCCTATCTTCCAGGTAGGACTATTATGTTTTTTCTGGTTTTTGTGAATGGTAATTACGTAATTGTTCTAGCTTAAGGTGTAGTGTTCGTCTTAACAATTTAGTGTAGTGGAGTTAGGAAATCAAGAAGTTTTTTGATTGTTTGAATTGAAACTCAACCCAGCTGTTCTTAAATGTACAAAATATATCACCACAAATCAAAACATGAATATTTTCAAACACATATTCACTTCGAAACCCGATTAATAAGTGGTTCACATCAACCAAAGGTACCTGAAGCCAATTATTTAGTTAAGGAAGAAAATCATAATGATGTCACAAAAAACAAAACCCTTGAAAACAAGTCACCCTTGATAACAATGGTCATTTTAAAACCCCCTTGAAATTGTTTTACCCCAATCACATATTATTGCAAACCTCAATAAGAAGTAAACCTTGATAACAAGTCCTATTTATACCTATGCGAGTCCTGTTATCAAGGTTCTACTGTATAAATGGTTTATGTTAAATAATCAGCTGATCTTAGTTTATTCAGTACCTAACAAAAGATTCAAAAGCTTTATTGACAAAGCTACAAAGGTTCTCAAGCGTATGTCTTTGTTAAAAAGGTGAATTGAATATTTCTCTTTATTAAGGATGAACTTCTGTATTTTTATAAGCACTTTGGAACTACTCCAGTTAATAGACAATTTTGAGATTAAGTGTTATCTATGAAATTATATCTTCACAAGTTTTAAAGCATTTGAGAAACTGCCTGTTAAACTATTAATGAACTTGTTGCGTGTCTATATTTGATATTAATTTAGTGATTATGTTTTCCGATAGTATCAATCACTTTTGAATTATTTGTTGTCACTTGTCAGCCTAAGTTGAGGAGTGATAATATTAATTTCCAATAGATTTTGGTTTAACTTTTAGTTTTAGTCAGTGTTGCCATTGTCATGATTTATTTAGCAAATGAAGCCCTGGCCTAGAATCGTCGAACAAAATATGTTCTCCTCAACCTGATAAGAAAAATTAACCTGGGAGAAATTCACTCAAATTTAATTGAAGTATCAAAAGAATTACTTTATACCTACTCAAATTTGTGCATGCCAAACCGGAATTGTTTTTTTAGGTGATAAACCTTTATCGTAGTTTGGCTTAAAAGCAGAACCCCACGAATTATTATTGAAATCCTTTCATTCAAACTTTTTGCTTTGAACCGAAGAAGTTTATTTTAGTAGATGTAATTAATTTAGTTCCTTGAAGACTCTAATCAATAGATTTACTTTCAAATGTTTCAATATGACTAAACAACATTGCTTTGTAATGTACTACTTAAAAATTATTTGTCTTAATAAACAAGGCTGCTTCTGATTCCAAACTAGCCTATATTGCTTACTATTGTATTTTAATGCAATATAGCAAGGGGTTTTCTGGTAAGTTTGTTGTATTTTAAAGCAAAACATTCTTTTATAAAATATTTATGTTAATATGAAACATTATTTATGTTCTTTGAGTGAAATCACTGACAAAGTATGAAAATTAAACATACATTTACTCTATTAGCCTAAAAAAAATTTGAAAAATAAATAACCTATCTCTTTTCCTTGCTCTTAAAGCTCACCCATCACAAACTTGTTCCTTAACTTACAATATTGTATTTAAATCTATATAGGTAATTTATTTAATACAATCTTGCATTCTTTTATATGAGTGCTGTCACCAATACCAGAAACGGAATATTTCCAACCATCCCAATATAAAAACTCAACAAGTTATCGTAAATATATCAACGTGAAAGTTTTTTATCTAAAATGATATTGTAAAATTATCATCGAACCGCACACTTTACCTTTGAGGAGCAGTCATCAAGATACCAGGCTGCAATTAATAAATGGCAGATAGTAGTCGGCTATCTTTGTGTACTCGTTGACGGTAATAGTTACGGACTGGTTCTGTGAACGGCTCACACATGCGACCGAGTGACATTCTGTCACTATGCTTTCCTTCTTCAACAAGAATCGGTTTCAGGTATGTCGGTGGTGAGAATCATTCATGAATTGGGTTTTGAATCGAATCTTTGCATTTTTTAATGTTTGTAGTATTCTTGTATTGATAGTTAGTTGTTGATCTTAATGTCTCTATTAGTTTGTTTTTCTCCTGTTTATTTTTAGAATGATCAATCATTTATTGTTTCCTATCACCTATATAGGCTTATTACTAATTAGATTAAAATTCTAATTTTTTGTCATTTATTTGCAAACTAAAACTCAACTTTAATTTAAACCTGTTTGTATCGTTAGGTGAGTTACAATGAATAAATTATTTCTGGTTCATCGAAGAGTCATACAAACAATTTTGTTGTAGTAATATTTTTATCTCAACGATTAAAAAGCAGCCTGAGAGAGCATTGATCATATTTATGTATTAGTTAGCTTAATTAAAAATTCAACTTGTCAATCAATAACAAATTATAGTAGACCTACTTTCACTTTTTTCAATGACTCATGCATTAATAATAACGTCCAACAATAACTAGTTGTTTGATATCAATTAATTTTTATTTTTAATTACTTATAAAATACTATCAATGAAATTTAATTAGCTTTTATCATTAATCATTTGTCTATATAAATAGATTTATATCTTTAAAACTCATCCCAACCTTCCTAATTTTTCATTAAGGATTTCTTTGATCATAATGTTTGGTCAAGAATATTTGTTGTACTCAATAAAACCTTTAGAAACGTTTGTTATAAGTAACTGATTGACTTTGATCCTATAAGATCGTCCAAGTTATCGTTTGGTGATTATTAGTCAAGGTCGGTTATAACCTTTCAGATTAACTTTGGCCTTGTGACGTACAAATAAAAACTTAGATAACGCATTGAATAAAATTATCTCAAATAGTACATTTGTTTGTAAGTTATTATTCTGAAATTTCCGACTTGGATTATTTTTATTTTAAATAATGAATATGAATGTAAATATGACTTCTCTGTGTTCAGAACACTACTCAGATCAATAGTATATGGTGATAGACAGTAAAGTATTTTAAAAACTAATTTAATATAGTATAACAACATTACGTTGTCTTAATGTGTGATTATAACTCGATAATTTAACAAGCATCCAAAGCATTTTTACGTCTGTTGAAAATAGTACAAAAGTAAAATTACGTTTTTGAGTCTATCTAAATTATATGACAGCGCCCAAGCCCTTCAAAGCTTTTGTCGATATGCTGGAGACCAACTTCCAAACCAAAGCTCTAAATAACTTCTTGATCAGCATTGTACGTGTTATAAAATTTACGGAAAGTAAATAAAAGAAACGTCTTATAACACTTAAAACATATATTTACTGTCTTGTGAGTAAAAGTATAAGCGTAAATATATGTTTTAAGTGTTATAAGACGTTTCTTTTATTTACTTTCCGTAAAGCTCTAAACACCTGCTTATAAAACAAACAAAAAACCCAACATTTCTTATAATTTTAACATTTAGTGTTATTTATCATTTTAGTATATTATATCACCAGTTGATGAATTGCAAAAAAATGTGTATTTCTTTGACAAGTTTTTCAGTAGTGCATCTAAAATGTGACAGTAAATATTTAAAACCAGTCTGACAATGGCTTAGTACATTTCTTATTACATTTTTAGAAAACACTAGCTGTGTGCCCGTTCTACGCACGGGGATCTTATAGTAGTCAGTTGAAACCTTCTTATATTAAGATTAAGAACAGCAGTTAGTTTGCATATTTGCAGATATGCTGGCAAAACTATTATATATAAACCTTCGCAAATACAGTATCTGACAGTTCAAGCCAAAATAAATGCTTCGCAGTTAAATGTCACCCGGATCGTTATGGTCCATATGTCCAATGATTAAACTAAAAAATGTTTTATAGATCTATGAAGCGTAGCCCTAAAGTAGGCCTATAATTGAAAGTTACTTTCCACATCGGTTAACTTAAACGTATTTAAAGTACTACCTCAACCTCACCATTTAACACTTTATTCCGGTTGACATTTTCAGTATCAAAGGTGCTCTTGTCCATTCCGTGAAACACTGAGAAATAAGGACATTAATGCGTTACCAACAGACATACACACAACAATCCAAAAAAGGCCACGAACTATTGATACATAAACAATATAAAGGAGTAAACAATTCATGATGGTTTGCCCAACAAATGTTTTACTCAAATAGGTTATCATTTTCTTAGCATACCGGGTAAGCTAAGATTTGGAATCCAGACAGAAAAAGCAAAACTTATACAGAGTTAAGACATCACTTAAATTGAATACGGACGGCTCTAATAAATAAGGTGCAACACCAACGATAACTAATTTGTAAACTACAGTGATGTGTTGGTACCTACGTAAAAATGATTCTAGCAGCTACCAACGTTTCTAAGGAAAAGAACCAGTACCCACGTAAGAACCTACCTAAGAACTATAGTACATCCGACCAATTAAATACATTAATATCTAGTCCCGAGGTTATTGATCTCTTGCTTTTGGATTTTCTCGTAAAAAGTTATAGCGTAAACTTATCGGTGTCAGTTTGAAAAAAAACCTTACCCAAACAACTTTTTGTTATTTAATAGATTACGCATTCTCTAAACAATGATTAGTATATATATTAACATTAGAAGGAAATGTGACGAAAATCACTCAATGTTGGGGTTTTGGTCATTTGTAATAATTATATTTCTTAAGTAGGTAGGCCATGTATTCTATGGAAAAGTACCGGTATCAAGGATTGTCGTCAAAAAGGTTGTTATGAATAAATATGTAGGCTTACGTACACAAGATATGAGCTATGGGTCTATTGGCTGTATGGTCCAGCGATTGCATCACACGGTGAGTAGAAACAGAAAGTGACACATTGGAAAAGCGAGTTTAGCACTTCCTCTGTTAAACCTCTGTTAAAATCACCCACTGCAGTTGTGATTTTTTACTTAACACTTTACACAACCGCCATTGAAGCGCCGTCAATGAGTGGAAACCTTTTTTGTAAGCTATTGGCGACGATCATTTCAGTGTCCAGCCCTATACAACACTGATTCAAGGTCTTCTTTCTGGTTGTCAAAACTCAAGAAACATTTTATACTCAAAGAATTTTTGGTTCCGATTTGGACGATGTCTAGTTATTTAATTTCATTTACGGTTACACTATTAGACTATATTATTGCACTTGCGATTAATTAAATCCGTTATGTATGAAAAACGTTTTTAATCTCACTTGGTTGGGATTTGCTTTCAAAACGTGATTCGAAATGGTTGCGGTATTTGTAAACAACATTTGTAAACATATCATTGACAGCTAGAAAAAATAATCTTGATCCGAACAGCTGTTCGTTATTTCATAGACGATAATGTGATAAAAATTGAACAAAAATTTGACAAAAATCGCACAAAACTGCATTTTTGAACGTCCGTAATTTTATTTACTAAGTAGTGAGGCTATATTTAAATCACTAAAGACACTCTCGCCAATCCAGTGAATACATTAAAATGACTTGGATCTTGATAGGTGGTCTGGTTTTCACAGAGAAGATTGCGTAAAATGCCATCTTGAGTGTTACAGACAAAGGGAAAGACAGACAGACAGACAGAAATAGAGATAAGACTCGTTTCTGCTTCTTTAATGTATAAAACGTAAAAATAACCTAAAAGTATATAATTCTGAGCAAAGTACAGACAAAACTCCAATTTTATTTATAAAGATTGTTTTAAATAGGCTAAACAATTTATGTTTTGTTTTAGGTTCAATATTTTCCTTTACCACTCCTAGTTCTGTGATATCCTTCTTCCTACATTTTTTGCGTCAGGTAACAGTGCCTTCATTAAGATAGTTACCCTGGGTAAAAGTTTTTACAACTGTTGTAGAATTAGATAAAATACGTCCAACTTAGTTACTGCCACAAAACCTTTCTGAAAACTCTTTGTAGTTTAGCCTATTGTTAGATTATTTAGCCTATTTTTATTCATCTTGTTGATGAACAAATTTGAATTTTGTGCAAGTAAAAGCTTAAAATAAGCTGAAACAACAGGGAGATTATGTAATTATTTGGCTATAATTGTTTCTTGATAAGAAGCTATTACTAGTCTATAAAGCTGATATTTTAAGTCAACTCGTTTTAAAAATTTACATTGAATGACAGTTATTTTCTTTCAGTAATTGCTACAAACTAATAATTACAATGAAGTGTTTATACTTAATTAAAATTATTGGTCACCAAAACTACTGAATACTTTTAAAATTAATTTGCTGCCAAGTTAGCTAAATAGTAGTCAAAATAGTTTTTTCTACACTTGTAGAAAATATTAAACTTCATGTCAATCTGTAATTAAAAGGTGAGAATATTTAAGGTTTTCTCGCTCCAGAAAATTAACGACAATTTTAAATATAACGAGTATTGCAATCTGATTTTGGAAAAACTTAAAGAGTTAACTGTCTTTGTCACTAAAGTAAAAACAACATTTTGCAACGAGCTAGCTTAGTAAAAAAACTTTGAAAAGTAGAAAACGTTTTTGTAACACTATAGGTTTCCACAAGTTTCATTGCACGATTTTCATCTCTACGTTCTTCCTGAAGACGAACTGCTACCACAGCAATAATATTGGGGTAGTGTTTATACCAATTTCAGGCAACTTAAACTTAAAATACCTCCGATTAATGGTTATTCATTTTTATCTTTATTAGCTTTGTGTGTATGTACCTAGCCTGATTAAATACACAATTAAAACAAATTCTAACTGTCATCATGATTTGTTCAGAAAAACTTTCCCTGTTTACTGTAAAAATCACAATATAAACCCAACTTATCATTAGCAATAGGCCTACCAAATGTTTATCCTTCAACCGTATCACTTGTAGGTACAGTATATTGTAGCTGGTTAGCTAAGTGTTTATAGTCCTGACCTTGTAATCAGAAGGTCACTAGTTCGATCCTGAGTCAATAGCTTTTTGATCCATTCCCAGCTGTCCTTGATCATTGGTATTAAAGAAATAGCTTAATCTTAATCGCAATTGGTATTAATACTGTAGTTACTATAATTTCTTTCCAAACAAGTTTCACATGTTCCTTATGTTTTCAGTCGATCGCAGCCCGAGCAAACGGTGAGCCGTGTTGTGACTGGGTGGGAGAGGGAGGTGCTGGCCACTTTGTCAAGATGGTACACAACGGCATCGAGTACGGAGACATGCAACTCATCTGTGAAGCCTACCATCTCATGAAGTCTGCCCTCGGCATGAAGAATGATGAGATGAGCAAGGTGAGCGGAGATTAGATAGTACGGTTCTTTGAGGAAAACTGTTGTTGAGATGAAAAACATGTGTCTGTCTGCGGGACAAGATTACTGAACTGTAAAAACTGATGGAATGGATTGCTGTTAAAAAGTTTCTGAATGTCTTAAAGATTGTTTTTATGTTAATCTTTTCTTTTGTGGTAAGTTCATGTAATTTAAGAGATTATTACAGATATTTTCCATAACAATTTGTTAAAATAAAATTTTTCTCAATGTTTCGGGATGTGCAATCTGACCCGATCCTGTCCCACTTATTTATTTAGTTAAAAATACCTGTCAAAATACTTTAATTCTTTTTACCTATAAGGTAACATAGGAGACTTCAGAGCCACTCGGGCGGAGCCCAAAAGGATTTTTGAGATAAGAATAAGCCTATGTTAATAGGGAATATAAGTTGTCAAATTTTAGGCCACTCTGACCAGTGGTAGTTAATGTGTGATGAGCCCCAAACAAACAAAAACTAGCCTAACAAACAAACACACAAACTTTCAGATGTAGAATTCTTAGGATACTTTTAAAAGCTTGTAATAAACACAAAGAAATAGTGTATAGCTAGTGAAACAATGGGATTACTAACCGTTACCATCAACTAAGGAGTAATTTTTTAACGTTTTTGTCACTTGGTTCAAAGAAAGACTTTACCAGTGTTGAATGTTATCATTTTTCACCCCTAAAATATTTGTGATAAGGTTTGCATGATATGAATGCAATTAAGTTCCTAATAGGACCATTTAAAGTGCAAATTAGGCTCTTTGGCAGGCCTTGCTAACTTTTTTTTAAACCTCCAACTGCTATTATGAGTGGGTATGCTATCTCAATGATTATAGAAAGATAATTATTACTTGGTTGCTTGTGTTACCGTACCTTTAGTTTTTTTATTGATTGAAATAGTGCAATCCATTGAAAGAGAATAAATAAGTGATTTTAAAGTTAATCCAAGGTTTTTTTAACTTGAATGTTGGTACATTCAAAAGTTTGATTTTGAAAAATTAGGCTAACTATAAAACTACATTGTGAACTGGTTACTTAATGGTTTTGTAATGTTCCTGTTACAAGATATTTCTTAAAAAATATTTCCAAAACATTCTGTTTATCCATGAGGATGTTTTGTGTAAATTGGTTAAGAATTTAGAAGTTGAATAATTTCATTCATTAGTCTTGTTATGATTGTTTAAAAACTAATAAAAATTATTCTTTGGACCATTGGACCTTTTCTGTTAATTCACTACCACTAGTTTTTAGAGCAATAGATTATAAGCAATAGAAGTGGTAGTGTTTTAAACTTTGGTTAGGTTAGGTTAGGTTAGTACATAGCTATAGACATAGAGTTAGAAAAACCTAACCTATCCTCACCACATGCCACTAGTGGTAGTGAATTAACGGAAAAGGTCATATTCTTTTAACAATAGACTGTGTTTTACCTTTAGGTTTTTGAAGAATGGAACAAAGGTGAACTGGACTCTTTCCTCATTGACATTACAAAGGACATCCTCAAATTCAAGGACTCTGATGGTAAGATATATTATTTAATAGAATGTACTTAGATTTAATTAATAAAGTTGTGAAAACAATTAATTGTGTTTTCACTTTGTATCTGTTAATTAACTATCGCAATAAAAAGTGAATTTTAAAGCTACTGTGAAAGTGTGGGTGGATTGGTCTCACCATTGACCTAATTGTTTTTTTATAAAATATACAAATAATATTAATTTGTCAAAAAAAACAAAAAAAAAACGTTAGGCCTAGTTAAAATTTCATTTAGAATTACCACTAGTTAATCAATGAGGCTAAGGGGAGCGAGATGGTGTAGTGGTTAGAGCGCGGGACTTCAGTCCCTGAGGTCCTGGGTTCAAATCCCACCAAGTCACCAATGGATTTTATCTAAGTGATAATGCCGCAACCCCTAGGTCTAGCCTGAAGTAATGTGAAAAACAATCCCAGGCTCGTAAAAAGAATCACCACAAGTTGACCAGTGGTCATACAATTTTTGGTGTAAAAAAAAAATGTAATTCCTTCTTGGTCAAATGAGTTTAATTTTAATGTACTACCATAAAATCTACAATATGTATTTTGACCTAGCAGTTTTTAAAAAGTATAAAAAAGGGCATTGCATGTGTTGGCAGAATCTATATAATTAATACGCCAATACAAAATTTGTTCTTTGAACTCCTCCGCCATTTCTTAACCGATTTTGACCATTGACGTCTCATTGGAAAGAGCGTGTCGCGTATATTTGCAAACTGACCTTAAATTTTTGAAAAGGTCCCTTGGGCCCCAGTTGCTTTTGAAGTTCACATGTTATCCTTTTGAAAAATATAATTGTTTATATTATGATAAGCTGGATAATGTAATTGCTGTTAGTATTTAAGTTGCAATTCAAGGAAACGTGTCCTACAAAAATTAAATTTTTCGTCATACTGCAGCAAAAACAGCCGTTTTTAATTAATGCGTTGCAGGTCCAAAGTAGCATTTTTACTCTCTAGGGAGTATAAATCATTTTTAGTCTCTTGGGAGTAAAAATCAGCTGTTGTAAACAGTAGTAAATTTGGATTGTGGCAATCGTATCCATTGAAATTATTTATCGATTGATTTATTAGGTAAGGTTTTAGCCTATTGTTGTCGATTGCTCGACATATCGACAGCAACATATGTACTGTAATACAATCGTAATAGACAAAATGGTTTAATGACTAACTAAACAGCTGTTTATTTGCATTAGTTGAATTAAAAACAAGCTGGATGTCGTTTTGAGATGTTATCTTTACAAAAAAATTATTTCGCTTTCTATTTTTGTTTGTTAATTAGTGATGCAATATGACGAAAAATATAGTTCACCACACAGGCAAAAACTTACTTTTTAACCCTCCCTAATTTTACGTCCTCGGCTTCACCTCGATCGTGAAACTTGACCTCAGGTCAAAAAGAGTCACTTTAGGCCCTAGTGCAACTATTAAACTCTGAGTTCGCCGAAATAGCAAAGTGGAAACTGACAAATCATAACACCCTTTATTTGTCGGTACTTTTGGAACTGATGACTTGTGTTCAGCATGAATGACATGTAGGTGCAGCTTTTGAGTTTTGAATAAAGATAACACTTAGTTTAACCTCGACCAACATCCCGGTATGTTGTCAGGTCAGTTCCTGGTTGAGAAGATCAGAGATAGTGCTGGACAAAAGGGCACAGGCAAGTGGACAGCCATTGCTGCCCTGGAGTACGGTATTCCAGTCACGCTCATCGGAGAGTCAGTGTTCTCAAGGTGTTTGTCGTCTCTAATTGACGAGCGTGCTGAGGCGAGCAAGGTCCTGCCTGGGCCACCCTCTACCAAACACACTGGCGACAAGAAGCAGTTCCTCGAGGACATCAAACAGGTGAGGTTATGTTGTTTACGTTTAGGTAAATTTTTTAATTTCAGTACTTTATTGTGTCCTATGTCAAAATTGAATTTTTGAAATCACAATGATCATTTAAAAATAGGTTTATAATGTAAAATAATAATTAACGGTTCACACAGATAGTGAATCAAAAGGTCTTTTAGGATCTGTTCAGTTTGTTTTTTTATTTTTAGAACAACATTTTTGACCTTCCCTTCACCCACTAATCACTAAAACATGATCTGACATACTGATTAATTTTTTTGTAAAGTAGACCCAATCTTATGATTCATTTGGTTTTGTTTGTGTAATTCATTTTAATTCAGACAGCCACTTGCATACACGCTTTCAATCATTTACATTTTTAACTTTGTAAATAAAAAAAGCCACAATCTTTTTTATTATAGTTTTCTTATTTTATTTACTATACAGTACTAGTAGCACATATAAGTCCACACAATGATAATATTTGGTTTTAAAAGTGTCCAAGAAGTTCTGTACCATATTCTGATGCTTCCATTACTTCAAGAAGGTTCTGGACTCAAGATGAAGTGTAATGTACGCTGAATGTTCACCAAATTACCTATCTTTATTCTAACGTGATGTGATATTATTTGCAATAAAAATACACAAGGATACCTTGGATATAGTTGGATTCCTTTTTGAATGCAATTTTACATTTTGATAATTTGAGCTTAATTGATATTTTTTTCAAATGATATGATTGTCCCAGGCCCTGTACGCATCAAAGATCATCTCCTACGCCCAAGGTTTTATGCTAATGAGGGAAGCGGCTAAACAATACAAATGGAAACTCAATTATGGAGGCATTGCTCTTATGTGGAGAGGTGGCTGCATCATCAGGAGGTAGGTCATGTTGTTAAACTGGCTACTGTCTGGGAAATGAAAAGGTTGGAACTTAAGTGCTTCTTGCATAAAGAGTACAATAAAGTTCTGTTTTGAATGTCAATGCCTAACCTGTAAAGCCTGTATAGAACTTGAAAATTCTAAAGTTTTAAAGATAGAATTTGTACTCAAATACAATTTTAGAGATGGAATATGTGGTGTTAGAAGGAAATGAAATATGTTTACCCAACCCGCCATGTTAAACTTCCCTATCCCAAGAGAGTGTGATGTAATTAACTTCTTTACTTCACTCAGTGAAGTAAAGTTTCAAAACTCGCTCGGTGAAGTAATGAAACCCATTCAAATAACATTGAGTGCTCAACTTAATAAAATATACCTCTATGGAGCCAACGACGTTCAACGCTAGAAATCAGTTGTGCGCTTGAATGTTATTGTTATGCTTTAAAGTATTTTCCTAACCTAGTTTTTGTTTGTAAAAGAACGTTACTGTTAGAACATGAGTGAAATGGATAATAAAAAATATTCTACGTAACCCCCTGTATCTTGTCTGGTCAGGTAAAATCTTGTACGTTACACGTTACGCAAGAGTGTGATGTAAAAACGCTCTTAATACACTTGTAACATAAATAGCTATTATTTTTCTCAATTACATTACATAAAGAAGTAGATACTAACCAGAACAAATTTTGAAGGATGAAATCTGCCATGCTTATGATAGGATAGGCCTAACTGGGGAGGTGCCTGTCAGTATTTAGACAAACTGAATGTGGGGAATATTGTTTATAAGTCATAATTATTTGAATCCTTAACCACGAATAAGAGAATGTCGGCAGCGACAACCATAGCCAGTGCAATAAAGGGTAGACAATATTTTGAGGGTCGAAGGTTCTCAAGGTCTGTTTATCCGAAGAAAGACGTATCCAATCAAATAGAGGCATTGAATGACACTTTTTTATTGGGATTCTAGATACTAAATTTGTGCACTTGTATTCTTTTATTTGTCATCATTTTGTTCTCTACCTGAATCTAGTATCTTTATTATCCGTACAGTTAGACAATTTTCAATGAGCAGTTGGACATTAACTTTCTATGGTAAGTGCTGCCCACACAAACCTTTGGTTGGACTAAAATCCTTACGATATTTTGAAATGGTAAAAACAATCAAAGCTATACATGAAACCTTTTTCCAGTGTTTTCCTGGGTAACATCAAGACCGCGTTTGACAAGAACCCCACACTCTCTAACCTGTTGCTGGATCCGTTCTTCCGAGACGCTGTGAGCCGCTGTCAGGCATCGTGGCGTCGCGTGGTTGCCACCGCAGCGACTGTGGGTGTCCCTACACCGGCATTCAGCACTGCCTTAGCCTTCTATGACGGCTACCGCAGCAAACAGCTGCCTGCCAACCTCCTTCAGGTATGTCTCGTCTCTCAGGCGTAAGATTTTTTGGTCTTGTTTTATTAGCATTACAGTCCTCAAGAATGGCAGTCAGCTGAGATTAGTAGTGGTACTCTGACAAATAGTCTATCTATACTACCTAACTTATTTATTTATGCTCCATTTTTTTTTTCAATATTTCTGCTATACTGATCTGGCTCTGCCAAAGTTTTTAACGTCCCTGATAAGCGAGTGTCTACACTAAATAGTTTAGTTCCAGTTGTGTCAGCCATCAAGACGATTTAAGAGGAAAAATCACTCAGTACCATGTACTTATGTTAATTTATCTTCAGATATCATCTAAATATAGATCTCCCCTTCATTAGTTTAAATTTAATGCGCTAATCTTTTAAAGGCCCCTTGCTTTATGAAGGGGTAAGCCATTACGTAGAGCCATCAAAAGGAACATTAACATTGACCAAACCACAAATTCTTTACAGGCCCAGAGGGACTACTTCGGTGCTCACACATACGAGCTGCTGTCCAGTCCGGGCATGTTCATTCACACCAACTGGACTGGTCACGGAGGCAACGTCTCCGCGTCTACCTACCAGGCCTAACCCAACTCACCTAAATCCTTCTCTCTATCTCTCTGTTACCTTACCAACTATGCTGACTTATTTATTTACATGTTGACGATTGCAAGCGGGTAGTGTGGGAACATATGTGACATTCCATTAGCAATATATCTTGTATATTGTGACAGTGTTGACGTTTCTTGTATTTTATTTTTGTATAAAGGTTTTAGTTTATTAAAGGCTTTTGAATAAGAATGTGTTTTTCCCCTGAGAGTTTTTGTCATTTGAGTCGGGTAGAGTGTTTTTGGATGTTTTAGCGAATTTCCCATATAGGGAATAAGCTATTACCGTAGTACTCATGGTAAGACCTGGACGCGGGACCGATTTTTTTTTCGTTTTGAGGTCCCTAGAGGCCAAAAACACCATCCGTTCAAATATATATATGTGTCTGTCAGCACGATAACTCGAGCAAAAATGATCCGATTTTGATGAAATTTGGTACAAACGTGTAAACCTACGTTTATTCGAACGAGTTCGCAATCCAGCATGATCGGACCATGGGAACGGGTGTTTACGGGGGGTTTTATGGGGTAAAAATAGGTTTTTCCCATTTTTGACCCAAAAAACACAAAATTTAGCAATTTATTTCCAAACCATTTTTTAGAGCTTAAAAAAACAAATAATTATATTGAAGCGTTATTATGCGCCTAATGGTTACGGAGAAAATTCCAAAAAATTGTAAATTTAAAATTCCCATGTTATTCTTATGGAGAATGAGTAAACTGTTGTAGTTTGCTTGTTTATGAACATATTTTGATCAAATTTGGAAAATGTTTTTATTTCTTACTAACTATTAACATTTTACAAAAAAAAAAAACAGTTTTACCCTCCCTGATGCAGCAAACCTAAGTACTTGTTAAACTAATTCTATTTAAATCGGGAATAAATGCTATATTTTTAAGTAGACAGTTCAGTGTAAATCCAATCAGTCAAATGGAAATTCGCTTAGTCTGCAGGTTTGCTGCGGCGGGGGTATTTTACAGTTACGGTTGAAAATGAAAATGATAAAAAAAGTGATGGTTATCGACAAAGTGACATGAATTGAAATGTTTTACTGGACGAATTGAAATCACCAATCAATAGAAAATGTACCAGTCCTATTATAATGAAACTCAATTTGCCTTTTTCACATAACACATGAATACTCTTGGAACTAATCATTTACATATCAATGTATCTTTAATTTACTATACCATGGACCTTTGATGAAACCTAGTAGGAACCTTACTACATGAGTTGACCATCAAAATTCCTACTCCTTTTTGGCCCCCTAATTCCAAAATTAATTATTTTCTGAGTTTAACTTGTTAAGAACATTAATAGTCCAGTCAACCATGAAGACTCCTAGTCTCCTAATACATTTTTACATAAGAGTACCAAGGTGGCAGAATTTTATCGGAAGCATTGTCATGTTAAGTTCCAAATGACTAAGACAATTTACAGCATGACATGTCAAATCTAAACATGTTATTTCAAGTGAATGTTAAAAACAATAAAAAGTTATGTTTTGAATGGGCACTTATCTAGGACTAAAAGAACATTACGGTAAGCCCATACTTGGAATCCAGTTTTTGATTTTTTATATATTTTCACAGGTAAATATAAAGAGAGAGCGGATAAAATATTTTTGCTAACAGGCTAGTAGCTTCACCTGTGTTTAAGCAGTGAGATATAAGACTAAAATTAGAAAAAAATGTTTTAAAGCTGCTAGAAAAACCAGATAGTAGAACTATTACCGAATATAATAGAAATTTAAATTTTACTGATGATTTGGGAGTATCAAATATACCAAAAACTAAAGATTAACAGTTTTATTTCATCACACAATAAACAAAATTTACTTCAACAGTAGTCCTATGCATTTGCCAAATAAAACGTACAACTGTGGTTAAAAACGTATATAAATTGCAAAAAAACACATAATCAAAACTTAATTATTAGCGTATAATATTTTAAATAATCATCATCAAACAAAAACTTTACACTCGTAACTAAAACAAATATCTCAACATTACAATATTAATTATATCCAGGAGGGGGAAAAATACAATCCCATGGACTTAAGTTCTTTTTTAAGCCAGCCATTACCTACCATAGGCTGACTGGTAAAAAGAGTGCAAATAGCAAAAAACAAAACAATCTCCTAACAAATATAAATTATTGCCATAGAATAAATTGAAATTGGCCATTAGTACAGTTGAATTCACATTATGTTATCTATGGTTTTCATGTCTGTATTAGATTTATATTGAGGTTGTTCATTGTACCAAGTAATATTGTTGGAATAATGTTGAATACCTTCTTACATCGACGTTGAACCAAGTTTTGACTTTTGTAGCTCTATCTGTATTATTTCATGATATATTTAACTTTCGTGGGACTTTTTTCCACCCTGTATATTCTGTGTTTAACTCTAACATGATATAATATGGAAGTTTTAACGCAACAGTAAGGATTAAAAGAGTCCCAATTGTTCAAGAGACTTAGGCCTCCTAAAGTCTAAGTTACATGATACAAAATAGGCAAGGCAATGTTAGTTATAGTTTAAATAGAACTAGTGTCAACACAAATTACAATTTGGTAAAAAATGCTTAAGCTAGACAATTAATAGACAAATCATGAACAAAAAAACACACACAAATATTATAGGCCTAATACAACTATTTCAATATTTACAAAATCCCCTCTATCAGTTATTAATAAATAAATACATACAAATTTATCACAGCCAGTAGCTTAGTTTATACCAACAAGGCTTACAATGGTCTCTTATGGTCTAGTCAATGACGGTAACAAAAAGTGTAACTGTATTAATCCCATACAGTACAGATTTTTATGAAAATTGGATTTAGGTTCTACTTATAACTACTCTATTTCAAAATCTACCCTTTGTGGATTAGTTTTATCTTCATAAGCTATAATTTTTTCTTCTATGGGTTTGATTTTATTTAAAAACCATCCGAAAACGTGGTTTTTTTTCAAGAGAGGCAAAAATTGTATTGCAAATAAGTCAAAAACTAATGACTTCAGGGCCCGCCAAGAGCTAATATAGACCACTAAAAAAATTTTTTTTTAATAATGCAACATAATAATAGCCATTTTTAATACATGTGTTGTGGATCTAAAGTAGCATTTTTACTCCCTACGGAATAAAAAGCCTTTTCAGTTCTTAGAAAAGTCAGCTGTTGTAAATTTCAATTGTAAGCCATCACATGGAACAAAATTATTGATTTAATTAATTATTGATTTAATCGGTTGTAGCTTATTGTTCAATAGACATATCAGTGGTATAATGTGCAAAAACACAATACCAATGGACGATATGATTGAATCACTTAAGAGCTGCTTGTTTACATTAGCTGAATTGAAAACAAGCTGGAAGTCATCTTGACAGGTTATCTTTACATGAAAAGTATTTTTGTATTCTAGCTTAGTCTTTTGATTATGCAAAATGACATAAAATAGGGTTCATCACACAGACGAAGTGTCTTTTCAACCCTCGCTCACTTTCCGACCAAGGTAAATTTGGGTCAAAAAGAGTCATTTTACGCCCTAGTGATGAAATACTCTTATTTGATTGTATAATCTTGCGGTCAACAATATTATAATCAAGTTACCTAAATACAGATATTTCTAGTTAGATGGACAATTGAAACCAATCCTAATGAACAAATAACCCTTAAGGGGCTGACAGTTTAAATGTAAAATGCAATATTCTTATTAAAAAAATATTGGTTTTTTATCTTCATTACAATCAATTAAAAGCAAAGCCAAGATTTGGCACCCTTCTTTCAGAAAATATTATTTTATGACATATTCTTAATATTAACTATCAGAAGTATTATCACTGCATTCGTTTACTTTAGGTTGTGACAAAATGAATGTCATTTTCTTGACTTTCTGCAGTTGTTGTAAACGTAGTACTTAACATCGCGCCAAGAGCGGCGTTCCAAAGCTGAATTCTGCCTGATGCATTGTTCGCACTCGTCTTTTCCTGGAACCACACGTTTTTTGATCGCCATATGGAAAAAAGTTATCACTGCATCCTTTTCTTCAGGTGTCCAAGGTCGCTTAAGTGTTGGTTCTGAAATGTTTATCTTGTTTTAAAAAATTTACTGGTAGGAATTTGAAAATTGGTTTAGCAAAGAAACATACTCAGTTTTATAACTATTTCACATTCATATAAATAATCAACCATTAAAGTCTAAAACTGTCTTTTAAACAATCATTTGGCTTAAAACAGCATTGAAAAAAACCTTTTTTTAACTTTAGACCGATGCCAGGTTATTGAAAGTGATGTACCATCAGGTGACAGATTAACAATATTCTACTATAGGGTTCTTAAAACACCTAATAAATAATATATTTAATACGTACTCTTCAAGGGCCTTTTTGTCTTCTTGCGTTCTTCTTTCTGGACATAGTCCGGATCATCAGAATCGTCCTTCGACGATTTTTTAACTTTTTTATCAGACTTCCCTGAAAACATACAAATTTATTGTACAAGTTTCAGTTTCTAAAAAAACATGGTCTATGTGAACTATATAAGGTTAGTTGATTAAATAGTAACTAACAAGTCAATTTATAAAATTTACTAAATATATAAAATTGCAGTAAGCTAACAAAAGTCCTTAAGTGGATTGAAATAGGTCAGAGGTAAATTAAAAGAAAATTTTATACCTTTTAGCGAATTTCCCTATAGGGAAGTAGCTATTACCGTAGGTCTCAAGGGTAAGACCTAGGCCCAAGACCGAATTACTTTTTCATTTTGATCGGACAATGGGAATGGGGTTTTATGGGTTGAAAGTTGGCTTTTCCCAATTTTCAACCTCAAAACGCAAAAACTCGCAAATTATGTTTAGACCATTTTTAAGAGCTTAAAAACAAATAATTTAGTATATTGAAGTGTTTTTCTACAGTTATTGTTATGGAGAAAACTAAAAAAATACATTTTATTAGCGTCCCTGTCCAAACCTAGGTACTCGTTAAACCTGACATTATTTGAATAGATTTAATTGAAAATCAATTCCGGTAAATGGAAATTTGCTTAGTTTTGCAGGTTTGCTGCAGCGGGGGTATTTTAAAAATTGCATTTTTTAAAGTAAACCTTTATGAAACATAGCAAAGATGGAGGTTAGATTGGAGTAAAACCAAGTAAGTAGTTTGCTTTTCACCCAGTAACTTGATGGTACTAGGGATGAGCATCGAGCTGATGAATTCAAAACATAAATGTTTTCTATCAATGTTTAATGTTTTCCACATCGATAGTAGGCAACCAATGTTTTTGTCAAACTATTAAAACTTTTTTATTTCCATAAGCATTTTCATATTTTTCACATTGTATGGCTGATGAAATATTGCATTAAAAAATACAAACTGGACTATGCTTAGAAAAAAATGCTTTAATAAAAAAACTATTAGGACTATTCATTTTAAAATGGGGCACTTGATAAACAAGTTAACACAAGCTTAACTGTGTAATTATTTTTACCTAGGACGGTTTTTTTAAAGTAGCAGTTTCAGTTCAGTTCTTAGAATTGAAAGTTTCACAAAACAGCATTGTTTATTTTCATAACAGTAGTTTTACTCAGAACAACACGAACGGACAAATTAGGTTCAAGGATTGTGAGGGAAGAAGTAAAATTGTAATGATTCGAACTAATCAGCTGTTCAGGCCAATTTAATTGTTAAGTGGTACAGTTAGTGTTTGGTATAATGTTTTGTTGTATCACTATCAGTGGCAATGAGAGGTTTTAAACAAAAACGTAAACTCTCTTAGAAGTTATGAGTAGTGATTTTTAGTAATTAAAACACCGTCGTAGGTAAAGTAGTGTACGCAACTTGCGTAAATAGTGTTAACGACACTCGTAGAAGTTTTCAAGGCATCTCACCAAGGCTCGTACCTTAAATTTTCGACTCATGTCATAAACACTACCTTTACGCAATCGTTGCGCAAACTACAATAATGTTTCTTTAAACAATGAATATGTGTCTTACGTAAATCTTAGCTACCCGGTCTTACCCCACTCTCCCCTACGATTCTTGCCTTCAAATTCCAGATACATCATATGGGGTAGTAAATAAAAATAACTAGCTAGGATTATGTAAGTTTCTCAGAAAAAGTGTATAATTTGAAAGATGGACATTTTAGCAAAATTACTTACTTTTTAAAGACCTTTTCTTTTTGTTTTTACTGGATGACAAATTAGTAGTCATTTTCTTGATTTTATTGCAGTAATTGTGGATGTAGTACTTAATGTCGCGCCAAGAGCGACGTTCCAAAGCAGAGTTCTGCCTTATACACTGTTCACACTCTTTTTTTCCTGGAATGACTTGCTTTTCGATCGCCAAATGGAAGAAAGTCATCACTGCATCCTTTTCTTCAGTGGTCCAAGGTCGCTTAAGTGTTGGCTCTAAAATAGAATGTTTATCTTATTTTAAGAAATTTAATTTTAGGAATAAAAATTTTGTTCACCAAAGAAACCTTAAAAATAGTCAGTTTTAACTACTATTCCACATGGATTCAAATAATTGACAAAAAATAAAAATCCGTCTGAGACATATGATAAAAAAAAATAAAAATAAGGCTTTGTTTGGATAGCAGATAAAAATGGTAGAAAACTAAGGCCTGTGTAAGATTTGAGCAGTGATGAAGTGTGCAGATATAGCTGCAAATTTCATTCTCGTGAAATTCACTCCTCAAGTTTCTACTGTGAGTACGGTATTGTTGAGTTTAAAAACTATTCTTAACAGACAAATTAAACATATCTGCAAATAGATAATGATGATACGCTCGATGATGAGCAAAATATATACCTGTATTCTTGTAATCAAGAAGAGAATATTTTTTTCCCCTAAATAAAAGAAAACCTTAGATAGATATTATTCATTTAATGGACTTGAATGCCGGCAGAGGTAAATAAATAGAAAAGGCTACTTTTTTACCCTTAAATTACATTTTTTTCAACTAAACCTTTTTCAATCAACATAAAACGTGGGGGGGGGTGGAGTTTGGGATAGAACTGCGTAGTCTGGTTTAGACCCAGTGACTGCTGGTACCTAAAGGTAAATGCTGAAACTAACAGTTTAGTCAGTTAGTCAGGAGTGGAAAAGTAGCAGGCATCGTGCCATTTGCCTCAGAGCAGATCCATATCTGTGAATGAATTTAGTTACTAAGATGATTTCCCTTTTTAATGTTAAGGACACTTAAATTGCTTACTTTTTCAGGAACAGAGTCTAATATGAAAGGTATACACCAACAAATTACTTACTTTTTAAAGAAATTTTCTCCTTATTGTGTCCATGTTTTGCCAGCTTTTCTACTTGAGCTGGTATGTCTTTTCCAACACTTAAAGTTTCTGCAACAATTTATTTTGTTTTATTTAGATTTATCATAGACAAATAGAATAAATATAGACTGTCAAAGGAAGGTTCTGGCGCCCACCGCTAGGGTTTGCCGTGTAGTTACGGCGCACACTGCTGCAGGCGGGGAGCACAGGAGCCGTATGCGACAAGCAGACGCTGCAGCGGTGTGCGCCGTTACACGGCAAACCTAACGGTGGACGCCAAAACTTCTGCTAACCACAGCACAGCTGACGGTCTATATTTATTCTATTTGTCTATGGGTTTATCCACATAGGAATAAATATATAGCAACAAAACCTCTAAAGAGATTCAGATCAATTACTACAAAGTCTGAACCCTGTACCGGGTTTCCATTTGTTAAATTTACTTCTATGTTTAGTGGTTCAACTGAAAATACTGTATTATAGATTATGATTATACTAACTAAACTATAGCAACATAATGAACATATTTTATAGTCTCTATTTCTAAGCTCTATAAACATTGAAGTTCACAATTTAAGATAAACCATAGTTTAAATGTTTCAGTTACTTTTTAAGTTTAATGTCAATTCAAATTGCATTCTTACACCATTTTAGGTTTGTGATAAGAGTGATGCTTCTGTAATAAATTGCACCCCGTAAAGAATATCTTATACATAATGCGTTTGCGTTGGCATGAGCTTGCTGTGACACCCACTAAAGAGTAGTGCCTTTGAATACTGATAGATGATATAACTGGAGGTTCCATCCCATGTTATAGTTGTTGCCAGTTTTAAAAATGAACGGACATAACTTAGTTGTATTGAGTTTTAACTGCAAAATCTTTGCAGATGCGTTCTGCGATCCTAATATTAAAAGTTCAGCTTAACTTGGCCTATCTTCTGTAAAATACTGCAAATTTTGGTAAAAATCCAATTATCTGAATTTTTCATCATCCAAATGTGTAAGGGTCTTCATTTATTCGGATTATTGGAGTTTAACTATATAACAAGAAATAAAAATTATGTTTACTTGAGATATTTACCTGCATTGAGATTATGTTCTGAATTTGCATCAACTACTTTGTTGGATTCTTGTGACTTGTCAATTAAAATCGAAGCAAATTGTATAGACCACTGCGTTTCCATTAAATCTAGAAAATCTTTTAAAGATTCACTCTTTGATTTATTACAATCTCTTAAGGCCTCGCCTCGCTCAATAGTGATACATCTCCTCAAACTGAGTCTTAATTTAACAGCCAAGGGAGGAATTTTATACTGAGGATGTAATGTTTGATTTTCTGAATCAATTTTGATACACATTTGTTTCACTGCAGCTACCAAATTATCAATCTCAAATGGTTCAAGCCAATCTTTTAAAGTTTTATCTCCACCCCCTGATAATTCTCTTAGTGTTAGTAGAAGCCGTCCCAACTGTCTCATTTCTTGTCTTATTGATTCGTGTTTGGTTAATCCATACTTTTCAAATTGTGAATTGCCTAGTTTTAGTATGAGGGGGTCATTTTTACATGTCTCTGTTACTTTATCATCCTTCATAGGTTTTAAGATATTTTCATTAAAAATTGCTGGCTGGTTGTGATTTCGTTTTAGAGAACTCATCAACAAAACTCGACTATCAGCTTGAACTCTTCTTCGCTCTTTAGCTGATGGTTCTTCATGTGATTTTTCTCTCCTAACATTGCATGAATGCTTAACGTGTAACCAAAGATGCTTTTTCAGTAAGAATCCTAAACAGTAAGGACACGGTGTGTATTTTCTATAAGAAAAATCCTCTCCCAGATTAGGCCGACGGACAACGATCAATTTACCAGATCTCTTTGATAACACTTCAATGTTGTGATGGTAATCACCGATTCTAGCCAAATCTATAAATCCATTTCTCCTAATAAGAGAGTTTATCGGCATGGCCAACAATTTGGCTACCTCAATTTCTGTGCTATGTTTAACTTGAAAATGTCTGTGTAATTTGTTCATTACTTTATAACAAAACATGCAACAGTGACCGACTCTTATTACCTTTCCTCTATCATTCTTTTTTACTTCATTTCCAACAATTCCTGTTTGCTTTTCATTTCCTTTTTCCTTATTAGATTGTCTTTCTTTTAAACTAAGTTTATTTTGTTCATTTACGACATTTAAGTCTTTATCTTCAACAGACGTTGTTGTCTCGTCTGACTGGTTATTGCACTTGGGCTTATTCATAACAATATAATCTTTAATTGAATCTAAGACCAGTTCATTTTTCTCAAGTGATTGGTTAACATCATGGTCAACAGTATCTGAGACCAGTTCATTTTTCTCATGTGATTGGTTAACATCATGGTCAACAGTATCTGAGACCAGTTCATTTTTCTCAAGTGATTGGTTAACATCATGTTCAACAGTATCTAAGACCAGTTCATTTTTCTCATGTGATTGGTTAACATCATGGTCAACAGTATCTGAGACCAGTTCATTTTTCTCATGTGATTGGTTAACATCATGGTCAACAGTATCTGAGACCAGTTCATTTTTCTCAAGTGATTGGTTAACATCATGTTCAACAGTATCTAAGACCAGTTCATTTTTTTCATGTGATTGGTTAACATCATGGTCAACAGTATCTGAGACCAGTTCATTTTTCTCAAGTGATTGGTTAACATCATGTTCAACAGTATCTGAGACCAGTTCATTTTTCTCTTGTGACTGTATATATTCATCAACTGACTCAGCTGTGATGAATTCCTCGTAATTTGTGGTAGTTTTTTCTTTGCTTATAAGATTTGTATCATTGGTATTGCTTGGTAGTATAATCCCAACATGTTCCAAAAGGGGTGGTTTGCTAAGTGATTGTGGTTTAAGAATTTTGAATAAATGAAATGTTGATTTAGTCTTCTTTAGTGTTCCATCGGGGTTAATGTATTCAACTGGTCTCTCAATCCATGGATTCCTTCCTGTAACATAAATTAACTGTGTTAGCCAATGTAAAATGCACAGGAATCTTACAATTATTAATATTCAGCTTAAAATAAGCACCAAATTGTGTGTTGCTGTCTTAAAGAATTGAATTTAATCATTTTAATTATTCAAATCTTCAACTTTGTACATTTAAATCCTAGATTTAAATACTCTTAATTTACAGGCCATTGATAACAAATAAATTAACATGTTGTTAACAAGTTTGCTAACGAGATGTGACGCCGCGGTCATTGCCACGGGCCGAGGTATACATTTAAATCTTACACATAGACCGGCTGTCTCTTGGTTAAGAGAACACGCAGACCACGGGCAAAAACCTGTTAAACAGTGATCATTTACTTTGTAATACGGTACAATTGTGTTTATAAATAATATATTCTTATTTTTTTGTTTTTTGTATTTTTGATAACGTTTTGCAATGTCGCATATTTGAGATGAACGGTCTATAGCGAATACAATGGTTAAAATTATTAAATTTTTTAAATACAGTAGACTCTCGCTTATCCGGCAGACTACTAATGTGGCCGACGTCCGGTCCGGATTACGATAAATCCGCACTATTGAGAGTCGAGCAAATACAGTACTGTATATAGCCTTTTTTTCAATTTTTTCCCAGGCCCACAATATTGATAGCCGGGCAAATGCAATTCCTCGAGTAACAATTTTTACTGCCATGTTATCCGAGATTTTGATTATCCAAGATAGTCTCGATCCCGTTTAGCTCAGATAATCGGACTTCTACTGTACTGTGCCACTAAAAAATCACGATTGCCAATCCGGACTAGCGGGAGTCCGGACAAGGCCAATCCGGATGAGTGAGAGTCTACTGTATAGCTTAAACGCCGCATTCATGCGACAGTTCATTTCTGCTTTTAGGTGAGAGTAAGTAAAAAATAGTTTATACTTTACAGTGCTAAAACTAATATTTTTTTACTGATATGTTAATGTGTCAGAATTCTCGATGATGATACATTTTTTTAAGTTTTACCAAATTTGCTGAATGGATTGGTTATTCTAATTTACACCAACCACTGTTTTTATGTCTTTCCAACCAAGGTATGTTTTTGGTAATGGGGTGTTTTTCAAGTAAAGAAAGAATAAATGAATCAGTATACAATTCAAACTAGCCAATTTAAGTTGAATAACTCTCCTATTGTGATCACTGTGAAATTCCTGAATATCTTTCTCAGTCACGGAAACATCATCACAGTCAAGGCAAAATCTTGAATATTGCTCTGAGGTAATGAAAACATTATTAACATCTCCAGCGATCGCGGAAAAATCTTGAAAATCTCCCGCGGTCGTCGTCCATGATCGCGGCGAAATTCTGATCAGCTCTGGTGGCCATGTAGACATCATCATTGTCTCCAGTGGTTAAGAAATTGTCATCGTGTTCTTGCGCGCAACCGCACCAATATTGGTAATTTATCAATCTTGCGATCTTCGGAGATTTGTTGGGTATCGATATCAAAATCAGCTTTGAGCAGTCGATTCTGATTTCAAAGCCAAGAAACAGTGGAGTCAGAATCGACTTTTGGAATCAACCCCCATCCCTAGTTATAAGATTTGTGGCCTAGCCCTACCTTGAATAGGAGTTTCTTGTTCTTGAGGCTTAAGGCACGTCCCCTCTATCATCTGGTCCCTGCTACCCTCCATGCTTAGCTGAAAAAAAGATAGGCTAGAGACATTTTTATTGTCATGGGTAATTTGTAAAACACAAGCCATCAAATAACAATGAAACAATACATATAACTACATTACAGCATAACATAACTCTGTAAAAACTTTGTGGGTTGTAGTTATAGCTACAACTTAGCTAGTAAACTTGCACACAATAATAAGTAACACTCAACGTGTAATTGATGAAATAGCAAGCCCTAAGGAGCTACACTGGTGCGAGGTGCATTTTTTTGTTAGATACCAGTCGCAAGCACTTACACTCTATGCTACTCGCAAAATCTCGCTAGATGCAAAGACAACAGAATTTTGTTACATGCAATCTGTTGTCACAAGATGTTGTCATCTCATCTTAGTTGAAGACAAGATGTCAAGAAATCAGGACGAGTCTTTGTTGTTGATCTTAGTGCTGAAAAGAATAAGGTGCAGAAAGAAAGTGTGAAATCGTCGGGTGCACTGTATTGGTCCAATAATGCTAGTAATTGAAGCTAATTCATAGTGGGCAAACCGTTAGAACAAAATTATGAAAAGTTTCAAAAGCTTTTTCGTATTAGGCATATTCTCTTGGTACAACACAACACAATATGCCGGGACTACATAAATTGTGCGACTTGCAAAAAACAGACTGGTATGTTTCACGTAGCACGTTATTTACTACGGGTAACTTAAAATATACTTACTGAGGCCTGCCCGTGCGTAAACATGACTTATGAGATAATACATTATACAGCACAGTGGCATCTGCATATTCTATATACAAATTGAAATAAAATAGTTTATTATGGTTGGATTAAATTATTTGGATTCGATCTAAGGCCCTTGTTACACAAGGTAGCCTGGCGATATCGCCAGCGATGAAACTGGCTCCTCAGTCTGTCATGGGGCATTGATCCTGATGGATGTTATTACACATGCGTAGCCAGAGCGTCACGATCTACTGTCACTGGCGACGTCGCCACGCTATCTCGTAAAATAAGGCTCGAAAATTTGTCAAACTAAAAATGAAGCAAAGTATTATTTTCCAGTTTTAGACTTTCTAATACTGAAACAGAATTGATTAGTGAGTTTACAAACCTCTCTCTGGTTATTTTTAGTTTCTGGTTCCATTTCAAATTGTGTTGGCTGTGGTTCTATACTGCTCAAGCTTTCAAAATGTTCTTCAGTATCTTTTGTCAACAATCTGAAATCAAAATAAACTAAATGTAAATATTTGTACAGATCAAGCTCGCAGTAAGCTGTCCTATCAGTTTGACTGAATAAAAAAGTTGGCGTTTTTTTATATAAATCAGTTGTTTAAATTTTCATTCTGTCACTCAATTTAATTACTTCCGTATTGTTTGACAAACTAGAGACAGCTTTAAAATAGGTATCAAATATATTGTTCTATCAATAGTCAAAGGTAATACATACACCAATAAATACTGGCTATTTCTAAGCTATACCGGTAATAAATTTATAAAAAATTAAACTTACAATTCTTGTTTAGAACCATTCTTAGGACCAACACTAAATATTTTTGAATGGTCATCTTCAATGTGTATTTCTTCATATTCCACGTTCAGCTCTTTCTTTGTTACAACTTCGCTGTTATAAGAATCCACATCTGTATTAATGAAAATATCACTTTTGAACGATGCACAAGGACCAAAATTTCTTGAACCTCCTTTGACATAATCTTGATTGGCTTCAATAGTTCCAAAACTTAGCGGATCTGTGCAGGGCTCAAATCTCTTGCCAAAATAAAAGTTTGTTTTATGATAGTGTAAAATATTTTCCTTTAGAGGTCCACTGTAAACAAAAATTATTTTATTTTCATTGGTTTTTAAATAAATATTTACTAACTGCTTAAAATAATAGTAATTAGTAATGCATACATTCCTAAACATATTGGTTTTAATAATTTGAACACATGAAAACCTTGACGTTTTCAAGCTGACTAAGGTATACATAAAACTTTGATTAACACTTTCATTGCTAGGGGCGGGAATTTACGCCCCTCTGTACCGGCACCACTGGCGCGGGGCGGGAAATGTCCTCCTTCTCCAATACCAACAACCTTGCTTCAATGTAAGCTCAGCCATTGCCGGGGAGCGTTATAATTGTTGCCAGCCTTAGCTTAGAATATAAGCTTTAGTCTGGTGTAGGTTGGTACTAAAATGTCCTGTAAAATCCTGTCTGGCAATACTTTTTCAATACTCGATCTCCAAGTGCCGATGTTAATTTATTTCTTGATAATCTTAGTTTTGTAGCCTAATTGATAGTGTTTCAAATTTTTGTAAAAATATTATAGTAGCAGGAGACATAAATATTAATGTAATGGTAAAAGATAACAAGTTTAAAGAACTACAGAGCATGTTAAAAAGTCACAACATGCGATATTTAATCAACTTTCCCACAAGGGTAGTAAACAACTGTCAATCGGCAATAGATAATTTTTTAACAAATGTAAAGTTATACGTTTATGGTCTAATTACATTCTTATCAGACCACGATGGACAAGTATTAGAGCTTGACATTGCTGGTAGTAAATTAAAACCAAAGGATAAAGTCAGAACTAAATCTTGCCGAAATTACAGTTTGGAGAACATCGAGATGTTTAAATTTAAGTTGCAGAGTGAAAACTGGATGGATGTTTATATGGCCCCTACAGAATGCAAATATTCCATATTTAACAATTTATTTTATCAATATTTTATCAAGTGTTTTCCAGTAATAAATTTAAAATAAGAAAAAATGGATGAATTATGATTTAAAGCTAAAGAGGGATGTTATTGTTAATTTAAGTAAGGGAGCTAGATTATTAAAACAATCCACATTTAACAGTCTTAATACCTTAAAGAAAAACTACAAATCAGATCTCTTAAATGCAAAAAATTTCAAAAACTGCTTGGTCAATAATAAACAAAGAAATTCACAGTAGTAAAAAACAAAAAGATACTGAGGGCATTGTGTTGAAAAATGGTGAGAAGCTGATAAGCAGACCTGAAGAAGTAAGCAACTTCTTTAATTCATTTTTTGCATAAACAATGACCACAAAACCAACTCAACCATCATTCTCTACTCAAGATGACAACAATATAGATTTTTCATTGAATTCAAATTTTTATCTAAAAACCCGTAACTGACACTGAAATAGTTTCAATTATCAAATCTTTTAAAAACAAAAAATCATCCGGTTATGATGGCTTATCAGTCACCATTCTAAAGGAGATAAAAGATGAATTAAAGTTTATCCTGACACATCTTATAAATTCCTCATTTGTTACAGGCTATTTTCCAAATAAATTAAAAATTGCTAGAATCATACCAGTTCATAAAAAGAATTCTAAAAATGATGTTTCTAATTACCGGCCAGTATCAGTTCTTCCCACAATTTCAAAAGTATATGAAAAAGCAGTTTACAACAGATTGATAGAATTTTTAAGCAGATCATAGCAAATTGATGATGAACAGCATGGTTTCTGGGCTGGAAGATCAACAGTCACTGCAGCAATTAGTCTAATTGAAGCAATAATAGATTCTGTTGATAAGGGCTTAAATACTGCAGGAACGTTTATGGACATGTCGCAGGCCTTTGACAATGTAGATCATATGGTATTGCTAAACAAGCTTAAGATAATGGGTATTAAGGGTGTTACACATAAATGGTTCACTTCATATTTGGAGGATCGCTATCAATTTGTAGAACTCTCTTATTTATCAAAAACCAATTGGATACAGAAGACAAAATCAGATTTACTACAAACGCATCTAGGGGTTCCTCAGGGTTCTATTTTGGGCCCCATTTTATTTATATGCTACATTAAAAACCTCCCTAATGCATTGACTGAGTCAGCCAGTACATTAAGTATATATGCTGATGATATCAATCTTAAAACTTCGGGTAATTCAATCACCGATATTAAAAATTCTACTGAATTGGAGCTCAAAAATATCGAACAATTCTTAACAAACAACAATTTAACACTAAATACAAACAAGACAAATTTTGTTCTCTTTCATACAAATAAGTTCAAAAAAGATCAAACCCCTAAAATCACTCTAAATAATAACCCGATCAATCAGGTGAAATCAACCAAATTTTTAGGCTTGATAATTGATGAACATCTAAATTGGAATGAACATATTAAGTATTTGGTTGGTAAAATTAATTCAGGCTTGTTATCTCTGTGATAAAGCTGTGTTAAAATTGATATACCACTCGCTTATAGAATGTCATATTGGCTACGGAATCAAAATTTATGGTGGGACAGTACAAACAAATTTGAAAAAGGTTTTAAAACTACAAAAACAGGCCATTAGAGTTATTGAAAAATTTAAGAATAAGAAGTCGGTGAAAAAGTACTTTAAAGAAACGAAAATTTTTACAGTGTATGGTTTGTATATTTTTAAAACTATTCAGCATGTTTATAAAGATAAAAACACTGAAGTATCCCATAAATACAATACAAGGTGGAAAAATCTTACTGTAAAAAGTCATCATCGGCTGAAACTTTCAAAAATGAAGCCTTCGTATATCGGCAATTTATTCATAAGAAGTTTGCCTGCCTTACTAAAAAAAGATCAAAACAAACCCAATTTTTTAAAGAAATTAAAATCATTCTTAATTAATCTGGCTCCTTATAGTATAGACGAGTTTCTAAATCAAAAATGAATTAGCTATACATTCTAAAATAATTGTCAAATTGTATGGTTAAGTCTTTTAGATTAAGTTGCATAACCAATTTTGTATGCGTTGACAGTATTCATGTATGTAAATGTATAAAGTGAATAAAGATAATTTGATTTGATTTGATTTGATTTTGTCCCGGTTCCGGCAATTTTCTCTTTTCGAGCCACTTTACAAAGACACTAGTTGGCTACGGATCCAGGCAGTGCTGCTACCTTTGGGTGTTTCAGTGAACTACACTACATCCACTCTCGGGCTAACGCAGCACAATCACCGCTGCTCTATTTTTATTCGTCAGACTGAAATATTTGATTGCCAATTGCGTTCACCGATTCAGTTGCGCGGCGGGGCTACGCCCCGGACTCGCCGCCATAGGCGAGGGCCTGTTTGAAGGTTTGCCGCACTGAACGTATTAACTTAATTGAGATCATAAGTTGAGTCATTTTAACCCTAGAGTGGTGTCTTTGGTGAGTGAGTCCGATGACGTAATATTTTCATCAAGTTCCTGCTCCTCTCGCTAGGATGCAGGACTTGTGTCTCCTGCTACCTTCCTACCTCGAATCAGTCTACCAACAGATGCGAGGGCGTAATTTTGAGGTTACAGATTTGTCTGCAATTGGGTACGTCGGTCCCCTACACCGAAGACACCTAGGGTGTGATTGGTCCAACATACCAAAGATACCTAAAATGAAATATAGTACTATATATAATGTAATACTATGCTATGTATAATACTACTAGCAGAGTACCCATCCTTTGTACGGGGTTGGCATATAAGTGTAAAATGCTAATTGAAGTTATACTCTAACTTAGCGTTTGCAATGGGAGAGGCCACAGTTGGATAAAATTAGCTTCTTTAAATTTACGGTATACTTAGTATTACACATCTACCATAGCAATAATGTTCTACCTCTCCACCTAAACAATAGAGAAATATAAATTATTAAAAATTCGCAAAATATCGCAAATTATTCATGCAATTAAAAACATAAACACAAATTTAAACAATCCTACTTTGATAGTTCTCATTGCCTATCACAGTTTTTTGTGGCTGGCTAGTTCAAATTAGCTGTTTATATAAATGCAAAACAATAATAGTGCTGCACCCTGTTGGTAAATCTTATAACTTTTTAATACCGGTACTTTTGCATATCATAGAACCAACTTTTTTAGTTGAAACAACTGACTAAATACTTTAATTCCCTTTAAATATGAATACTCATAGGTTAACATGGGGAACTACAGAACCACTGGGGCGGAGCCCGAAACGATTTTTGAGATAAGAATATGCCTATATGTTAATAGGGAATATGATCTATCATCATGCCAAATTTCAGCCCAATCCGTCCAGTGGTTAATGCGTGATTGAATTTCAAACAAACAAACAAACACACAAACTTTCACATTTATAATATTAGTAAGATAAGATAATGATAGCCTAGTGTAATTTTTTTATATATTGTAAAATTATAATATAGTAATCATTTTACATATTTTTAAGATACAAAAACGGTCTCACAGTCTGAAGATACCAAAGGTGTAGGCAAATCAAAGTCGCCATTACTCTATGGGTAAAAATGCATTTTTTGAAGTCTCAGTCAAAAGGTTAAGAATATAAGGAATTCTGATGGTTTATTTTTTTTACACTAACAAGTCCATAAAATTTCATAATACATCAGTGAAGTCTTTAGTAATTTGAAAACAGTATTTAACTTTTGATAAATGTATTAATTTTTTTTTTATATGTTACCAATACTCAGATGGTTTTCTTCACGATAACCCCCATAAAAATGTAAACATATATAGGAGTAATAATTTTACACATTTTTATCTTTTATGATTTTAGTTATATAAAAACAAAATCTAAAATGGTCTCGCAGACGCAAGACACTAAATGTGTGATAAAAATCAAGACACCACTCTAGAGAAGTAATAAACATGATGGTATACCCAAATATTTGTCTTCAAATGATTACTTTAGACTGATTTTGGTGTCATATTTTATCTACTAAGATAATGGCTTTGTACTGTTCTTGTAGGCCTAAATGTTAAATCTAGTCAAATCTTGATTATCCAACCTACAGTATTCAAGAGAAGAACAGGCGCAGAAAGTCACTCGATCTTCCACCGGAGGTGTTCAATAAGTGAAGTATATTCATAAGCATAAGCACAAGCTTATTCAATTTTAGGGATCCAAGAACAAATATACAAAAGCGTTCCAGAGAGTTTGTATGCAACCTGTACATGAATTTGAACTCGTGGTGTTTTTGATCTCTGTGGACTTCAAAACGGAAAAGTAAATCGGTCCCGGGTCCAGGTCTTATGGCGAGACCTACGGTAATGGCTTATTCCCTACTGTGTTAAATTTACTAAAAATAACCCCGCAACAGCAAACCTGCAAACTAGTGATGGTCGGATCCGGATATCGGACTACCGGATCTGAGCTAGAACCGACGCCCGATCGGATCCACAAAAAATCGGATCCTGGGCTGGATCCGGTTTTAATGGATCCGATTTTTTTTATACTATTAACACAAAACGGGCGAGTATTCGAGTTCGAGTAGAGTACGGCCTTGAAACTCGAGCTTATCTTTAAACTCGCCAGTTTGGTTTAAAATTGTGAAAATCAATATTTGTTGAAATGTAACTTGTGTTTACATAAAATGATGGATAATTTCAAGTCTAGTTCATGTTGGTGACACTGGACGTTAGTTTGACTTACTTTTGTTTCTATTTGTTTAGGGGTAGTTCTATGATGTGTGTTTTAATTTCTTGTAATATAACCAGGAGACGACCTATTAGAATAAAAGAAGGTAGAATAAAAGAAATTTTGATTCTCCAAAAAAAGGGCTTTAAGAGCTATGACAGGGACACACCCTGATCATTGCAAACCTCTTTTTATGAGACATAGGAATTGGCTAACTCACGAACTCGCTAACTCGGTCGTGTGTCGGAACTGGCTAACTCAGGAACCGGCTAACCGTCTCAGTCAAGAATTGGCTAACTCCAGAACCCGCTAACTCGATTTTGTCTCGCGGCGGAATTTGCTAACTCTGGAAGTCGCTAACCCGGCAGCGCCCACTGCACGGAGCGTTGCCAACCTTGCACAACGAAATAATCGTACACTGCCGTATTTCAAAATGTCAGTATCAATGAAGATACAGTAAATGTTATTATTTTTTTGCTATATATTTTAAAACAGTTTTTAGATTATACACCTAAGCCCCAATAGTAAATAATAGGACAAGATATAATATATTCTTATATTAAAATGTGACAGGGTAATTTTAATTCACGATTCTTAATCAATGAATTGACGGATTTTCCTGATTTTAGTGTTGGGTTTCCTTTATATTGCTTTTACAAACGAAATAAACTATACCAACCCATGCTCGGTTCCCCGTTCCCCGGTACTGAGCCACTCAATAGACAATAGCTTTGTTGTTGGATAAGAGGTAATTTTAGCTATGGCCACCATTCATAAAAATGGTAACAAACAAGAACGCCTGGAGAGTTTTTTTTAATGTCTATTTGTTGGTTGCCTCGAATAGGATAGACTATATTACAATACTGCTTCAATTTTTGTTAATAGATTATATGTTTCCTCACAACATAATGTAAGAACATTTAAATTCCTTTTCTTGACTAATGTAAAGGCGCAAATATTGTAATACATTGTTAACGTTTTTGATTTGCGTTACGGTATTAATTAATGTACCTAGGGAAATCATGTGCCTGCTATAGAAAAATACCGTAACTATTTTTATTTGTTTACTAATACTATGATTCGGAAATATTTCGGTAATAATACAGAAATATTAAGAAGAACCAAACTATTGTTAACACTCGCACGACAGATATAATAGCTCTTTAAAGAGTCAAATATTATAACCTATCAAGGACAAGCATTCAAGGCTACAAGCCCAGTATACAAAATACGAACTTAATCATTTTATTTGAAGAAGTTCACAAAATGGTATTTATTCCAATAAAAGAAACAAATATGGTGGACTACGAGAATAGATATTTCATAACATGTAAAAGATCACAATTAAATGTACAGTAATATCTTTTTGCATCCCAATAAACTACTATTTAAGTAAGAAAACCATATATAACACATACTCCCTTATATAAGTACATTTCTCATCCTTATGGATCAGCTGAAGTCAGTTTTATCGTTAGTTCTGTCCGGTGCACTGTCTTTAGAGGTCGTGTTTTGTTTACAATTGTTTCTTGTTTTCAGTAATTAAACACCTCGTCTAACCAAATAAAACGTTCTAATCATAACTAATAACACGTCCCCTAGTTATATAACCAAACAGTAAAGAACAAATCATGAAGTTAACTATAAAATAATAGAAACACAATTTCGTCGACACTAGCGATCAGTGTCACCGGACATGAACTATACACGAAAAACGAGCTTCAAAGTTTACAATGGGATGTAAAGTTTACTAGTGTTGGTTAGTCTATGGTAAGACCATAATGCATTTTATACCCTAATAATCATAAGAATAATATTAAACATACATCTAAATATATTTATTTTATCGACTACGTTGCTCTTACTCCTAATTATTCTTAGGATACGATATTATGGTACCAATACAATCATATAGGTACTACACTTTCGGCAAAACTGGCCAAAAATCTTCGTGCTTGGCTCCTATTGGACAGCACGCGAGGCTGTCCAACTCGCTGATTGGGAGTTAGCGAGTTCCGCCGAGGGACCGAGTTAGCGACTTCCGTACGAGGACGGAATTCGCTAACCTGGCTCTAGAGTGGGTTAGCCAATTCCGAAACCGAACAAGTTAGCGAGTTCCTCTCATCGACCAAATTTGAAGATAGGGCGTTTAACATGGGGTTAGCGAGTTCCAGAGATAGCCAATTCCGCGGACCCCTTTTTATAGATCTGCAAATTCAAACTGCAGTAAATTTGTTCATTTATGATCTGATTGTTTATATATTAAAAAACCCTGAATATCTTCAATTTAATAATCACAGTCACAACACTCATTTTAAAAATACTGCGCTATTAGAATCCCATCGTCTTAGTAAAACTAGTAATTGCCACATAATTTTATCAATTAAAGTGTATAATTCAGTAAAAAATAATATAAGTTTACATTCAATTAACAAATTTAAGGCTATGTTTTATAATTATCTACTTCAAAACCCTTTTTATAGTCTGGATGATTATTTTAAACTGGGAGAAATTGTCCTTTAGTTTGGTTTTCATTTAGGTTAAGAATGTGAATAGAGTTGAATGTTAATTGTAATATTTGGCTTGTAAGAGTATTTTGTTGTTTATGTTATGACTTGGTTTGAAAACTGTAAATAGACTTTGTCAATGATATGTAAATGTATCCTTATGGCAAATAAAGATTGATTGATTGATTGATTGATTGATTGATTGATTGTTTGTGATTAGATCGTTTTATTTAGGATAAAATGGGTTTAATAACAATAAATGTTTTAAGCTAAGAATGATGACCAGTCTACTAAAGGAGTATGTTTAATCTATGGTAAACGTAGTGTATGGAGTTCATGTTATTGGGCCTGAAATTGGAATCAATGGCCATGTTTTTTTGCAGGAATGCTCGGAGGGTGGAGTTGTTTTGTTTCAGTCCCACAAACGTGAACATTTACTAAAAGCATAAAATTGCTAAACGTGTTTAAGACGGCATATTGTTGCTAAACAAGTCAAATCTTAAAATAACTTGCAATGATAAAATTCCGACGTGGAGTGGTATTCAAGCAATTAACTTAGGCCTAGGGGCACGATATAGTTTTAAATACAGGCTTAAAGGAATGTAACTGTGACCAGACTATAGGGGGCGGAAAATTATTTGGGCCTAGGGGCGCCAAAATGTTAAATCCGGCCCTGACCGGTACCAACATTTTCTTGGATCCGCCCATCACTACGGCAAACTAAATGAATTTCCTAGTTAGATTTTCAATATATTTCTTATTTAGGACTAAACAATGTTAATTTTAATGAGTACTTAGGTTTGGGCCTTTTTGTCTTCTTTTGGTCTTTTTTCTGGGGATGGTGTGAGTCATCAGAATCTTCCTTTGAGGATTCTTCGATTGTAACAGGAAACTGCCCTGCAATACAGATTTATCAAACCTTAAAAACAAAAACAGACAATATGTTCTAAGTGAACTATAAGGTTAGTTGATCAAATTGTTTACTAACATTTCAATTCAAATATACTAGGCATGGGCGGTAGTTAGCTAACACATATCTGAAGCGGATTGCACGGACCTTTCGTGTTAAATTAAATGAAAGTTTGACCTTTTTTTATCTTTTAATTAGTCATAGTCAAGAATTTATTCATAGGTAAAGTAACATACTTAGCCTACATGAATACAATTTTTAATTCATCTAAGTATAAGGACAGGTCCATTAAATATACCTTGAGACTCCTTTTGGAAATATTGGGTTTTAGTTCCATTTAATTTTTTAGAGGAGGAAAAATTCATGTTCTGCATTGACAGTCTTTTTTAAGAGCCCTAATTTATGATTTACAACGAGAAAGTTATTTTTGTTCAGTGTATTGTGAAGCGGTCCTGCCAACATTCATCGTCAGATGACTGAAGTCATGAAGCAGTGAGATGGCTGATGTCATTTGCAGGCCCTAATGCAATTTGTGAGGGTTAAGTGTTAAAATGGGCACTTTATGGGTTTTTTATGAGTTAAAAAAACATAACCTGCAATAGTGAAAACTGAAAACCTTATGTACCAGCTACAGTGCAACCTCTGTAAAGCCCAATAATAGGCCTAACCACCCAAACGATAAATAAATATAAAATCTTAACCCCTTTATAATTTGACCCATTACATCCTTACTTTCTAACCTGGCTAGGATTATGATCCCTTTTCAGAATAAGTGTGTAATTTGAAAGACAGACATCAACAAATTACTTACTTTTTAAAGACCTTTTCTTTTTATTGTTGCTGCATGACAAATAAGTAGTAATTTTCTTGTAGTAATTGTGGATGTAGTACTTAATGTCGCGCCAAGAGCGACGATCCAAAGCCGAGTTCTGCCTGATGCACTGTTCGCACTCTTTTTTTCCTGGAACCACACGTTTTTGGATCGCCAAATGGAAGAAAGTCATCACTGCATCCTTTTCTTCAGTGGTCCATGATCGCTTAGGTATTGGTTCTGAAATTAAATTTTTATCGTGTTAAGAAATTTAATGGTAGGAATAAAAAATTGGTTTACCAGTGAAGCCTTATACTCAGTTTTATAAGTATCCCACAAGCTTTTAAAATATTTAAATATTTGACTAAAAAATATAAATCTGTCTTTCAGAAAAATTAGTTTTTTTTTTTAGCATAAATTAGGCTTTGTTTATAGCAGATAAAAAATTTTTAAAAAACTGTGGAATAAGGTAAGAATAGGGTGAGCAGTGATGGAGTGTGATGATATAGCTGCAAATTATGTCTTGTGAAGTTCACTCCTCAAGTCTGCACTGCGAGTAGTGTTGAATTTAAAACTATTCTTTACAACAAAATCAAACATATTTGCAAATAGACAATGAAGATACGCTCGATGTTGAGCCAAATATATGTCTATTCTTGCTATCATTTAAAATTTAAACTTAAACAAAAATTAAGAAAACTAATTTTTTTTCTTTTTTTAAATTTACTATTCTTTTAGTGAACTTGAATGCCGGCTATTTGAATTAAAATCAGAACTCAATGATACTCTGCCGGATTATTAAAAATACCAGATTACTCTACAATTATTGCGAGACTAGATAAAATATCAATAATTATAGAGCATCAAACTAAATCGTTGGCTGGCAGGCTATCATTACATGTTTTACTGTGCTTTCCCATTTTTTATTTTAGTAGTGATGAAAAATGCTAAAAATAAAAATGTAACAAATATTATGTAAATAATAAAATGTATAATAAAATGTAATAAATTAAATAGAAGTCGCTCTCCACGTAGGAGGGTTGCTTCTGGTGTATGACGATCGCTTGCAACAAATATTTCCTGCACTGGGAAAAATATTACAAGTGAAATCGCAAACGTTTGCCGAGGATAGCTCAGCCAACAATGGCTGGGTAAAGTTCCAGGGTCTGCGATAGGGGATGCTCCTGACTTAGGACAATTTCTCCCGAGATATAACGTAACGAGATGCTACCCTTCTGAGGTAGGATGATTGTTCCCAAACTAAAACGGTTGCTCCCCATGTAGGAGGATTGTTCTGAGGTAGGCTGATCGCTCCTGACAAAGGACGATCGAGCAGGCTCTGTTGAGAGCTCTCATTGGGCTTAAAACCGCACTCAACAAAATTTATTTGACTATTTTACACCAGTATTGAAAGTGCGGACCATTAGATGACAGAAGACCACCGGTATAGTAGGTACTGTGCAATTTGTAAAAATCCTCATCAAAATTAAATTCAAGACTTACTCCTTAAGGGCCTTTTTGTATTCTGGTTTTCTTTTTTCTGAACATGGTCTGGGCCATCATCCTTTGACAATTCTTTCATTGTTACATCAAACTTCCCTGAAATCATAAAAATCCATTAGATATTTGTCAGTTTATAAAAAGCAAAAAAGCTAATTTACAACAATTTTAATTTAAATGTACTAGGCATATAGCAATGAGCTAACAAAAATATTAAGTGAATTGGAAAAGGTAATTGGTAAATTATTGGGAAATTTTACCTTTTTATCTTTAAATTAAATTTTTTTCAGTTGATTGAATTGAAACCCATATGTTGGGGGATTGGGATAAAACTTTGTAGTCTGGTTTAGACCCAGCGACTGCTGCAATTTTTTGATTTATTTAGCTGTCAAGGTAAATAAATGCAGAAACTAACAGTTAGAGGGATTGGAAAGGTTGTAGCTTTGGTAGGCATCAAATCATTTGCCTCAGAGCAAATCTATATCTGTGAATTGTAATTGCTCGAGGCGCTATCGTCAACCCATTCTCAGGTTACAGCGCCAGTGAAAAGATCTCCCGCAATCACGGCTCCATTGTCAACATGTATTACGCTCGCAGCGCAATCACCAACATATTCCGCCGTCACAGCCCTATATTCAAAATGTCTTGTGGTCACAGTGCTATATTCAACATGTCTTGTGGTCACAGCGCCATCTAGAACATATCCCGAAACGATGACACGATTGTCAACATGTTCAATCCTTGCGACACAATCGTCAACAACCGACCCCCCTATAAGCGCTATCGTGAACCTTGTTTTTTATAATCATTTTCTGTGTTATACGACATTATTGCTTAGGTCTGATAGTTGAGACTCTACTGAATATATAGAACAGATTAGCCTGTATTTCTAAGCTCAATAAACTTTGAAGTCCACAATTCAAAATAAACCAGAGTTAAAGTTTCAATTACATTAAGAAATTTTTAATGTCAGTTTAAATTACATTATTACACCATTTTAGGTTATATATAGTACTGTAATTTGTGTGTAATTTGTAGTAATTTGTGGCATTGCCTGACCATAGAGGTTATTGACGTTGTAATATACAGTACTGTGACAAAGACTAACCATAGAGATTATTGACAACGTAATATACGGTAGGCCTACTGTAACATTGCCTAACCATAGAGGTTATTGACGTCGTAATATACAGTACTATGACATTGACTAACCGTAGAGGTTATTGACGTCAGCAATATACAGTACTGTAACATTGCCTAACCATAGAGATTATTGACAACGTAATATACGGTAGGCCTACTGTAACATTGCCTAACCATAGAGGTTATTGACGTCGTAATATACAGTACTATGACATTGACTAACCATAGAGGTTATTGACGTCAGCAATATACAGTACTGTAACATTGCCTAACCATAGAGATTATTGACATCGTAATATACAGTACTGTGACATTGGCTAACCGTAGAGATTATTGACGTCAGCAATATACAGTACTGTAACATTGCCTAACCATAGAGATTATTGACGTCGTAATATACAGTACTGTGACATTGACTAACCATAGATTATTGACAACATAATATACGGTAGGCCTACTGTAACATTGCCTAACCATAGAGGTTATTGACTTCGTAATATACAGTACTATGACATTGACTAACCGTAGAGGTTATTGACGTCAGCAATATACAGTACTGTAACTAGGGGTGTGCGAATACCACTTTTTCTTTTCGAATCGAATACGAATCGAATAGAGAGAATTTCAAATTGAATTCAAAATCGAATACTTTCCCTCGAATAGTATTCGAATAGTGAACATTTTTTAACCGAATACTAACCCTCAAATAATGAAAACTTGAAATCAATGTCAAGTCAACTCTCAATAACTTAATTAGCCTACAGTACTAAAACTGTTGGTATGTTTTTCAGAATAAGTGTGGATTGTAAATGTATCTTTCGCTTATTTAATTTAGGCCTAGTTTAATTCAATAGGTAACTGAACTTAGATAATAAGTAAAGGTACAAACCTGAACCAAGTTTTATTAGTCAAAATTATAAAGCACTACCAATAAAAAATTTTGTAAAACACATTCAACCAATTGGGTAGTGATAATCATTATAACCACATAAAAACGCACATTGTTTTCTTTGACTAAGTAGGAATTTAGGCCTACAACTTACTGTCAGCCCTAAGTTTATGTTTTAGAACATAATCTTTTAAAAGGTATGCCTAAAATAAAACCCACAGCCTAACCTCATGACTTGGGCTTAGGCTACTGGACAACTAGGTTTGAATGTACAAGAACCTAGGCCCTATTTTTAACCATTTACAATACCTAGTTTCAATCTTCAATTGAAATAATAAAGCCCCTTTTAGCCTAAATGTAGGCTAACTTAAACTTAGGCATTTTTAGAATGAGTTTATTACGTTACATAGGAAATGTATAATTATTAACTTTTAACCTACTTTTAAGGACCTTTTACACGTGTTGCATTCTGCAACAGAGTCCTTTTTGACAAAAAAATCCCAAATTAAACTCCTTTACTTATTTTTTAATTCTTGTGATGATGTTGAAGGCACATTTAGGCCTAAATCGGCTTCTTCGTCTGAATCCATTTTGTGTCATTCAACCAAACTTTAATGAAGCCTAGGCCTAAAACTTTTAGGCAATATCCAACTGTATAAAAGCAACTGTTGTCAAAATATACAAAAAATTTTACTAAGTTTAGCTGAAATACTTAGCGCAGACGTGCTAAACAAACTGTCTCTAAACTGCAACCTCAAAACTTCTTGTCTTGTAACACCGCTTGCGCTAATGCAAATGCAATAGAAAAAAGAAAGAACAGAAATTGTTGTCTGCTAGAGAAGCAGAAGAATAGAAGCAGACTTCCATAGCAAGTGCGAATTACGTTTTACTCTGGGATCACGGCATCTAGCAGACAACATTTGTATATATCATATTTCAAGTTTATAAAGGTGACAGTGCACGTTTTGGTACCATGTATAAGAGAACTCAGTATAATTTGTTCCAGTATCTTATTCGCCATCACTTTTACTTTCTCCCCCTATACCATAGTATATGGAGAAAGTACCGTATTGTTTTCGTCAAAATTTTCGAGTTTGAGTTTTGAGTGGATATATTCGTTTTGGGTCCCCCTGGACCCAAAAAAGTGGTTTTCGAAGTGATGTCTGTGTGTGTGTGTGTGTGTGTGTCTGTGTGTCTGGATGTGTACAGAGCTAGAGACTACACCTGTGTTCGATTTCGATGAAATTTGGTATGTAGGTTCTAATCCATGGTATCTCCAGGCGTTTTTTTCATTTTTTTGAAATTTTGATTTTTAATGGGATTTTCCCATAAAAACCCATAAAAAGCCGGAAAAATCGAATTTTTTCAAAAATGGCCCGAACAATTTTGATAAAAATTTAGTATGTTGTAGCCCTTTAAACTCTGAACAAAATGGTACAAATCCCATTTCTCTTATTTAAGACCGGAACTATTTTACCGACCTTGTTTATTTGGCTAATGGCGGAGGACATTATTTAATCGGAAACTCACGACCACGACACGATTACACAATAGTTGAAAATGAAACGTTGTCACTCGATAGTCGATAGAAACTGATTACTATTCGTATTTTTGCCCGATGGTAATTTTTTATTAATTACTTGAAACACTATTTTGGCCAACTTGATTTTGTTTTATGTTTTCCAAAGCTCCAACTAATTATGTGACCAGATGGGAAGTATTCGAAAAGGTCCGAACTATTCGACCACCGTCGAACTATTAAAAAAATCGAATACTCGCAGATAGAACGAATCAATTCGAATAGTAGTTTTACTATTCGATTCGATTCGAAATTTCAAATATTCGCACACCCCTAACTGTAACATTGCCTAACCATAGAGATTATTGACGTCGTAACATTGCCTAACCATAGAGATTATCGACGTCATAATATACGGTACAGTAACATTGCCTAACCAAAGAGATTATTGACGTCGTAATATACAGTACTGTGACATTGACTAACCATAGAGATTATTGACGTCATAATATACGGTACAGTACTGTAACATTGCCTAACCATAGAGATTATCGACGTCGTAATATACAGTACTGTGACATTGACTAGCCATAGAGATTGTTGACGTCGGCAATATACAGTACTGTGACATTGCCTAACCATAGAGGTTATTGACGTCGTAATATAAAATACAGTAGAACCTCTTTAATCCGAACTCCCGTGATCCGAACGTCCACTAATCCGAACACCTCATTGCTGTACTTTATACACAGTACAGTAGTTCTATAGGTCTCGCCACCCTAAGTTGAGGCAGCCCAAACTGACCGGGAGGGTCATTACCATCTGGTCCCGCACGACCCTTTATAATCCGATTAGCGACACTTCCGTGAACGCTCTAGTTCAATAATTATCATTAACAAATTTTAAATCGGCTGTATAAATTTAGTCATTTACATTAATGACTTTGATTTAATACACATTTCCGTTTTCGTCCCATCAAAAACGGACAATGTTTACGGTTTGTGAGCTATAAACAATAAACCAAGTAGTGTTTTTGTTTATAGCTCACAAACCGTAAACATTGTCCGTTTTTGATGGGACGAAAACGGAAATTTGTATTAAATCAAAGTCATTAATGTAAATGACTAAATTTATACAGCCGATTTAAAATTTGTTAATGATAATTATTGAACTAGAGCGTTCACGGAAGTGTCGCTAATCGGATTATAAAGGGTCGTGCGGGAACAGCCGGTAACGACCCTCCCGGTCAGTTTGGGCTGCCTCAACTTAGGGTGGCGAGACCTATATATTGTATACTGTATTTAATGTACATTACTGTTTATTCACTATATTTACTACTGTATTAAATAAAAACTGTATTTTACTTTATAAAGCATTTTTTTACTTTTCTCGTAGCAATTACAATCCATTGTAGCCTTGTTTTAGCTATTGTTATGTAAAGACAACAATATGTTCTGTAATCCGAACTATTCAATAGTCCGAACTACCCCCGGTCCCAATTGGTTCGGATTAAAGAGGTTCTACTGTACTGTAACATTGCCTGACCATAGAGATTATTGACGTCGTTATATAGAGTACTGTGACATTGTAAATCAATTAATTTGTTAATTAATTATTATTATTTATTATTATTATTTATTAATTTATTAATTAATTTTTAGACAGCTTTGTGTTAGTAAGAATCGGTCTTGTACATGGATACAGACAACTTTTTGTTAGTAAAAAAATCGGGAAAAATCGGAAAAAATCTGATCCATCAAAACCGGATCCAGCCCAAGATCCGGAATTTTTTGGATCCGATCGGGTGCCGGTTCTAGCTTCCAGTAGTCCAATATCCCGATCAGACCATCACTAGTAATGGGGTGTTTTACAAGTAAAGAAAGAATAAATGAATCAGTATAAAATTCAAACTAGCCAATTTAAGTTGAATAACTCTCCTATTGTGATCACTGTGAAATTCTTGAATATCTTTCTCAGTCACGGAAACATCATCACAGTCTTCCTCAGTCAAGGCTAAATATTGAATATTGCTCTGAGGTAATGAAAACATCATTATCATCTCCAGCGATGGCGGAAAAATCTTGAACATCTCCCGCGGTCGTCGTCCATGATCGCGGCAAAATTCTGATCAGATCTGGCAGCCGTGTAGACATCATCATTGTCTCCCATGGTTAAGAAATTGTCATTGTTTTCTTGCCCGCAACCGCACCAATATTGGTATTTTACCAATCTTGCGATCTTCGGAGATTTGTTGGGTATCGGTATCAAAATCAGCTTTGAGCAGTCGATTCCGATTTCAAAGCCAAGAATTGTTGGAGTCAGAATCGACTCCGACTTTTAGAATCAACCCCCATCCCATTATAAGATTCGTGGCCTAGCCCTACCTTGAATAGGAGTTTCTTGATCTTGAGGCTTAAGGCACATCCCCTCTACCATCTGGCCCCTGCTACCCTCCATGCTTAGCTGAAAAAAAGATAGGCTAGTGACAAATTTAAATTTGTAAAACAAGCCATCAAATAACAATGAAACAATAACTGATCAAAACTGTCTTACAACATAACATAGCTCTGTAAAAACTTTGTGGGTTATAGTTATAGCTACAACTTAGCTAGTAAGCTTTGTTACATGCAAACTGTTGTCACGAGATGTTGTCATCTCATCTTAGTTGAAGACAAGATGGCAAGTTGTCAGTGCGAGTCTTTGTTGTTGCTCTTTGTGCTGAACAGAATAAGGCGCAGAAAGAGAGTGTGAAATCCTCAGGTGCACTGTATTGGTCAAATAATGCTAAGTAATTCAAGCCAATTCATAGTGTCCAAACAGTTAGAATGAAAATTATGAAAAGTTTCAAAAGCTTTTTCGTATTAGGCATATTCTCTTGGTACAACACAACATGCAACCTACGAAGATTCAACTGACGTGAATTAGTAACTGCACGTATACCGGGGCTACATAAAATCGTGCGACTTGCAAAAACCGACTGGTATGTTTCATGTAGCATGTTATTTATTACTATTATTTATTACAGGTAGCTTAAAATATACTTACTGAGGCCTGCCCGTGCGTAAACATGGCTTATGAGATAATACATTATACAGCACAGTGTCATCTGCATATTCTATATATAAATTGAAATAAAATAGTTTATTATGGTTGGATTAAATTATTTGGATTCGATCTAAGGCCCTTAAATTACACGAGGTAGCCTGGCGACATCGCCAGCTATGATACTGGCTCCTCAGCCTGTCATGGGGCATTGATTCTTATGGATGTTATTACACGAGGGTAGCCAGCGTGTCACCAACTACTGTCACTGGCGACGTCACAACGCTATCTCGTATAATAAGGCTCTAAGTTTGTCAAACTATAAATGAAGCAAACTATTATTTTCCAGTTTTAGACTTTCTGGGACTGAAATATAATTGATTAATGTTTTTACAAACCTCTCTCTGGTTATTTTTAGTTTCTGGTTCCATTTCAAATTGTGTTGGCTGTGGTTCTATACTGCTCAAGCTTTCAAAATGTTCTTCAGTATCTTCTGTCAACAATCTGAAATTAAAATGAACGAAATATAAGTATTTGTACAGTAAAAGCTCACACAGGGTGTCTAGTTTATTTCCATTATAAAATTCAAGACTAATTCCAGACTTTTCAAGACTAATTCCAGATTTTTCAAGACTAGTTTTTTCAACAATTAGTGGGTGTTGATACCAAAATGTATCGATTCTTGATACCAATACCAATTTTTATAGCTTTTTCTAACCAAATTTTCTAAATAGTATTACACCAACTCTTTGTCTTTGTCATAAAGCAGTATTATGATAATGTGGTGTTTTCAAGTAAAGAAATAATGCAGCAATAAAAAAAAACTAGCTAATTTGGTTTTTTTTTATCATGAAATCTTCTGCGTACCGTACGTTTAGACATCATCATTGACTGCAGCGGTTACAGAAACGTGATCTTCGTCGTCCGCGATCACGGCAAAATCATGAACATTTCCCGCGGCCCCGGGTATACATCATCGTCGTCTCCCGCGGTCACGGAAACTTCATCGTCATCTCCCGCGGTCACGGAAACGTCATCGTCGTCGTCCGCGATCACGGCAAAATCATGAACATTTCCCGCGGCCGTGTAGACATCATTGTCGTCTCCCGCGGTCACGGAAACTTCATTGTCATCTCCCGCGGTCACGGAAACGTCATCATCGTCGTCGGCGATCGCGACAAAATTATGAACATTTCCCGCGGTCACGGAAACGTCATCGTCATCTCCCGCGGTCACGGAAACGTCATCGTCATCTCCCGCGGTCACGGAAACGTCATCGTCGTCTCCCGCGGTCACAGAAACGTCATCGTCGTCGTGCGGGATCGCGGCAAAATCATGAACATTTCCCGCGGCCGTTTAGACATCACCGTCATCTCCCGCGGTCACGGAAACGTTATCGTCGACGTCCGCGATCACGGAAAAATCATGAACATTTCCCGCGGCCGTGTAGACATCATTGTCGTCTCCCGCGGTCACGGAAACTTCATCGTCATCTCCCGCGGTCACGGAAACGTCATCGTCGTCGTCGGCGACCGCGACAAAATTATGAACATTTCCCGCGGCCGAGCAGATATCATCGTCATCTCCCGCGGTCACGGAAACGTAAACGTCATCTCCCGCGGTCACGGAAACGTCATCGTCGTCGTCGGCGACCGCGACAAAATTATGAACATTTCCCGCGGCCGAGCAGATATCATCGTCATCTCCCGCGGTCACGGAAACGTAAACGTCATCTCCCGCGGTCACGGAAACGTCATCGTCGTCTCCCGCGGTCACGGTGACGTTATCGTCGTCCCCAGCGGTCACGGAAAGGTCATCGTCGTCTCCCGTGGTTTCGGAAACGTCATCGTCGTCGTCCACTATCCCGGCAAAATCATGAACATTTCCTGCGGCTGTGTAGACATCATCTAAGTCTCCCGCGGTCACGGAAACGTCATCATCGTTGTGCGGGATTGCGGCAAAATCATGAACATTTCCCGCGGCTGTTTGGACATCACCGTCATCTCCCGCGGTCACGGAAACGTTATCGTCGACGTCCGCGATCACGGCAAAATCATTCGAACATTTCCAGCGGCCGTGTAGACATCATCGTCGTCTCCCGCGGTCACGGAAACGTCATCGTCGTCGTCCGCGATCGCGGCAAAATCATGTACATTTCCCGAGGCCGTGAGGACAATCATCATTGGCTTTCGCGGTTACGTAAACGGAAGACGACAATCACGGCAAAATCATAAAAATTCCCGACTTTGAAATCAAATTTAAGACTAAATCCCGACTTTTCAAGACCATTTTGAAATTCAATACTAATTCCCGACTTTCCCGATTTTCCCGACTACTAGACACCCTGCACAGTAAGCAGTCCTGTTTGATAGTTGTCAAAAAGTTGGCGTTTTCTATAAAAATCAGTCATTTAAATCAACACATTCTGTCGGCTCAATTCAATTACTTCTGTATTGTTTAACAAACTAGCGACAACATTAATATGGGGATGAAACGTCTTGTTCTATTAATAGTCAAAGGTAATACATACACCAATAAATACTGGCTATTTCTAAGCTATACCGGTAATAAATTTATAAAAAATTAAACTTACGATTCTGGTTTAGAACGACTCTTAGGACCAACACTAAATATTTTTGAATGGTCATCTTCAATTTGTATTTCTTCATATTCCATGTTTGGCTCTTTCTTTGGCAAAACTTCGCTGTTATAGGAATCCACATCCGTATTAATGAAAATATCACTTTTGAACGATGCACAAGGACCAAAATTTGTTGAACCTCCTATGACATAATCTTGATTGGCTTCAATAGTTCCAAAACTTAGCGGATCTGTGCAGGGCTCAAATCTCTTGCCAAAATAAAAGTTTGTTTTATGATAGTGTAAAATATTTTCCTTTAGAGGTCCACTGTAAACAAAAATTATTTTATTTTCATTGGTTTTTAAATCAATATTTACTAACTGCTTAAAATAATAGTAATGCATACATTCCTAAACATATTGGTTTTAATAATTTGAACACATGAAAACCTTGACATTTTCAAGCTGACTAAGGTATACATAAAACTTTGATTAACACTTTCATTGCTAGGGGCGGGAATTTACGCCCCTCTGTACCGGCACCACTGGCGCGGGGCGGGAAATGTCCTCCTTCTCCAATACCAACAACCTTGCTTCAATGTAAGCTCAGCCATTGCCGGGGAGCGTTACAATTGTTGCCAGCCTTAGCTTAGAATATAAGCTTTAGTCTGGTGTAGGTTGGTACTAAAATGTCCTGTAAAATCCTGTCTGGCAATACTTTTGTCCCGGTTCCGGCAATTTTCTCTTTTCGAGCCACTGGAAAAATATAGTGTATTTACAAAGACACTAGTTGGCTACGGATCCAGGCAGTGCTACTACCTTTGGGTGTTTCAGTGAACTACATCCACTCTCGGGCTAATGCAGCACAATCACCGCTGCTCTATTTTTTATTCGTCAGACTGAAATATTTGATTGCCAATTGCGTTCACCGATTCAGTTGCGCGGCGCGTAGGCGAGCGCCTGTTTGAAGGTTTGCCGCACTGAACGTGTTAACTTAATTGAGATCATAAGTTGAGTCATTTTAACCCTTGAGTGGTGTCTTTGGTGAGTGAGTCCGATGACGTAATATTTTCATCAAGTTCCTGCTCCTCTCGCTAGGATGCAGGACTTGTGTCTCCTGCTACCTTCCTACCTCGAATCAGTCTACCAACAGATGCGAGGGCGTAATTTTGAGGTTACAGATTTGTCTGCAATTGGGTACGTCGGTCCCCTACACCGAAGACACCTAGGGTGTGATTGGTCCAACATACCAAAGATACCTAAAATGAAATATAGTACTATATATAATGTAACACTATGCTATGTATAATACTACTAGCAGAGTACCCATCCTTTGTACGGGGTTGGTGTATAAGTGTAAAATGCTAATTGAAGTTATACTCTAACTTAGCGTTTGCAATGGGAGAGGACACAGTTAGATAAAATTAGCTTCTTTAAATTTACGGTATACTTAGTATTACACATCTACCATAGCAATAATGTTCTACCTCTCCACCTAAACAATAGAGAAAAATAAATTATTAAAAATTCGCAAAATATTGCAAATTATTCATGCAATTAAAAACAAACACAAATTTAAACAATCCTACTTTGATAGTTCTCATTGCCTATCACAGTTTTTTGTGGCTGGTTAGTTCAAATTAGCTGTTTATATAAATGCAAAACAATAATAGTGCTGCACCCTGTTGGTAAATCTTATAACTTTTTAATACCGGTACTTTTGCATATCATAGAACCAACTTTTTTAGTTGAAACAGCTGACTAAATACTTTAATTCCCTTTAAATATGAATACTCATAAGGTTAACATGGGGAACTACAGAACCACTGGGGCGGAGCCCGAAACGATTTTTGAGATAAGAATATGCCTATATGTTAATCGGGAATATGATCTATCATCATGCCAAATTTCAGCCCAATCCGTCCAGTGGTAAATGCGTGATTGAATTTCAAACAAGCAAACAAACACACAAACTTTCACATTTATAATATTAGTAAGATAAGATAATGATAGTGTAATTTTTTTATATAATAAAAATTATAATATAGTAATCATTTTACATATTTTTAAGTTACAAAAACGGTCTCACAGTCTGAAGATACCAAAGGTGTAGGCCAATCAAAGTCGCCATTACTCTATGGGTAAAAATGCATTTTTTGAAGTCTCAGTCAAAAGGTTAAGAATATAAGGAATTCTGATGGTTTATTTTTTTTACACTAACAAGTCCATAAAATTTCATAATATATCAGTGAAGGCTTTAGTAATTTGGAAACAGTATTTAACTTTTGATAAATGTATTAATTTTTTTTTTATATGTTACCAATACTCAGATGGTTTTTTTTCACGATAACCCCCATAAAAATGTAAACATATATAGGAGTAATAATTTTACATATTTTTATCTTTTATGATTTTAGTTATATAAAAAAAAAAAATCTAAAATGGTCTCGCAGACGGAAGACACTAAATGTGTGATAAAAATCAAGACACCACTCTAGAGAAGTAATAAACATGATGGTATACCCAAATATTTGTCTTCAAAGGATTACTTTAGACTGATTTTGGTGTCATATTTTATCTACTAAGATAATGGCTTTGTACTGTTCTTGTAGGCCTAAATGTTAAATATAGTCAAATCTTGATTATCCAACCTACAGTATTCAAGAGAAGAACAGGCGCAGAAAGTCACTCGATCTTCCACCGGAGGTGTTCAATAAGTTAAGTATATTCATAAGCATAAGCACAAGCTTATTCAATTTTAGGGATCCAAGAACAAATATACAAAAGCGTTCCAGAGAGTTTGTATGCAACCTGTACATGAATTTGAACTCGTGGTGTTTTTGATCTCTGTGGACTTCAAAACGGAAAAGTAAATCGGTCCCGGGTCCAGGTCTTATGGCGAGACCTACGGTAATGGC